TGCTATAATTATTGCATTAATAATAATTGATGCAATTATTATTAATAATTGCATCAATTATTATGAATACACAACTGGAATTAGTTAATGGAATATAAAAGTTTAAGCTACAACCAGTTTCCACATTTTACAGTCTATGGGGATCATGAGGATTGGGTTTAACTGATGGTGAGATAGAGGTTTGGATTATGTGGTGTGACACTGATTAATGTGGCCTATTTTCACCACACAGTTTGCAAGCCAAGTGGCGTGATATAGCAGTCTATCTGTCTACTTAATGCCAGAGTGGGAGAGAAGCTCACAGAAATCTGAATGCTGTGCTCTTCAGCTGACAGCTTAGATGGTAGGAACAAATATACAGGGAATGCACTGGAAAGCAATTATTTTGGGTGAATGCTACAGAAACGTTTTACTTCTTATACTGCTTTTATTCCTAGACCAATTCAGAACATAATTTGACATTGACTCTTACAACCATGGCTGAAGCTTTGCAGCTCCTTTGCAAATACTAATACAGTATGTAGAACAGATCAGCAGGTCTTTGTCATGATCGTAAACCCCTCCTCTTAAGGGCGCTCCAGCCCTTCCTTGTTTGTTATTCATCTCCAACACCTGCTCCCTGTTCCAACTCCTTTTCTGTTCCCCCTTAAAAGCCAGATTCTGACGCTATTCTGGGCTCTGCAATGGTGAGGCCGGGACCTGGCCCCGTTAAGTTTTTAGTTCCCGTTCCCGTTCCCGTTCCCGTTCCCATTCCCGTTCCCGTTCCCGTTCCCGTTCCCGTTCTTGTTCCCGTGCCAGTTCCGACCCGGTTCTTGTTTTTAAATGTTGTTTGTTTTGGATGGACTGCCCGGTTTTGGACTTTTGCCTCCACTTGGATTCCCCCTTGGACTTTCTTCTGGATTGTTTGCCTCGGCCACACCTCCCCTGACCACCAGCACACCATGGACACGCCCACCTGTTTTCATTCCCGTCTCCTGAATGCCTTTTTTCCCCATGTTTCTTCCCACTACCCCGGATTGTGTCATCTGCATAGGTTCCGGAAAGAACTCTCCCTGACAGTCTTTTTATCCCCAATCAGAGGCTCTGAAAACAGCGTGTTGCCCATTGCGCTGTGTCAGAGGGGGAGGCGGCACTGAGAGAGGGAGGGAGCGCGGAGCTCAGTATTGCACAATGGCCGTAAAGCACCAATTGCGTCTGCATTCATAACTTAGAGTTTAAAAATTAAACAACGTAGATCATTTTCTTTGACTTCTAAGTCCCTTGATTATCATTAAGCACATGTTTCTCACCACTTAGACTACTTTTTGATACCATTGTTAGACAAAGCAGAAACATATTGTACTTTCTAATGACATTACAGGTGGAAAGATTACAGATTTTAATCGTCTTTAATTTTGTTATACATTTTAGAAAAGTTTCATCTGTACATTAAAGGGTGATACATATTTATTCAATCAAATCATACTGTAGGTAAGACATGACTTACTGTATACAATATCATTCATATTAACTGTTCATTTTACATAAAGCTTAAATAAAACATAATGAAAAGGTTAACAAAATAAATGTCAATAGGAAATCTGTATAACAAGTTTATTAATACTTTAATAAATTAGAGAGGTACAGTAACTATAGGGCATTATACAGTAGTAAGGGTAAGTCTGTGGACAGGCTGAACACGGTTTTTGTTAGGTGTTAATCATTCAGCCAGGTTATCCTCAGTGTGCTGCTAGACAAGGTCATTCTCGAGCATGTTTGATGCTGAAGAACTGTTGGTGAGAGCTGTGTCACTCTTCCCATTGGTACCTGTAGGCTCTGTGTTTCTCACAGTATGCATAACACATTTTGTAACTATCAACAATTGCCACATCCTTTCAAATTAACCTGTGTTGTGAGTTAAAAAACAACTTTAGCACACTTAAATTCCTATCAAGGCACACTCATTGACAATAAAAGTTCCATTCGCTTTCAGAGCGTTTAAAGTTAAAACCAAAATTTACAATACATTATTACATTTAGTGGGAGTCTCTGCAGCAAAGCTAACAGAGGAGTAATGCAACTCCTTTATCTTATACATTTTAACAGCTGCCTTGTTGACAGATTGTGTGAATGAAAGCATTGGCACCAGGAATCAACAGCTTAAATTTGTTTTTTACACATTTAGCAATGAAAGGAATATACCCGTGTAACTCTTATCCTCATGAGGTAGAGGGTTTCTGTTTAGCGCTACTAACTGTAAAGACTACAATGAAAATGGTGAACATTGTTTTTTATTTTCTTGGTATTGGAGTAACTTAAAAAAGCATTTTTGATCAAAGTGTTTGAAACTTGCTAAATTAAACAAAGTAATTTTGATGTCGTATAATTTCATTAAAACACTAATAATAGAAGCATAATGTTTTGTTTATGGATGCCCTACATTTATTAAAGTATTAAAGTTTACACGCAAAAGTATTCACATGTTTTATTCTCTTGATATGAATAACTAAATTCAGGTACATGACATTTTTCATTTTACAGGTCACTTAGCAGTAGATATAATTTGTCCATTGTGGGCACATTTATCACAGTTAGTGGGATATTTCGTAATTGATTTGCTGAACTGTCACAGAAATAAATCGTATTTATGTCCAAATACATAACAGTACTGACAGTATCAGATAGTGAATGGATGCTAACAAAAATCTCACATTCAATAAAATGTAGTACCAGCTACATCAAGATTAGTTTATTTCAACAACTTCGTCCACAGAAATGTTCATTTAGGGTTCTGTCCACAGAAGGTGAACATACAGTACTGTATATTGCACAACCTGTAATTTGTCTTTTGTCTGTAACTGAATTTTCATATGGTCTTTGTCAAAGAAGGGACAGAAAGTCACAAAGGTTTTAATGATGTTATTTGCAGTCTGACAGAAGCATTTGGAAAAACGAATCAACACTTATTTTTCAATAAATGTGTGGTGAATTTGGTGGGGGATGTTAGTACCATCAGCAAGCCACCTGACATCAATATTTCACAAAACTGCTGATTGCATGAAAGCATGAAAATGCAAGAACTGCTAAAACATTGCCCTAGTTTTTCCATTGTGACTAGTGAGTTCACAAATTGTCAAGATTTATATGCTTTACCCATTTTATCCTACACGAGCTATCAAAATAAGGAAAGTCAGTGTTGCTTAAAATCCTTAATTTTGACATGACAGATAATTAAACAAGGATTTCAACCCTTTTTGATGTCCTTCAAAGTCTGTCACACACATCCTGTAAATTTGACATGTACATACAGGATATTGACTTTAGTGAATAATAACTGGGCATATAACTTCCCAGAAGCAAACAAATACAGTACCTCATAAAGGGAAATAAAATGTTATATATTGTCCAATCAGAAAACATTTTTTACGACATTACATTCAGGAATTGGAATCCTCTAACCTTCATTTACAAGAAAGGCTGAAGGTAAAAGATACCTGCTGTTTCTATTTCTTCACTGAAATAAGATATACAGAAAGCCAATTTTAACAATGTAGTGCCATTTCATGACAACAGACTGGATTAACCAACTGCCAATGCTATAATTTAAAACTCAAATATAATGTGCATATAACTTTTCTTATTCAAGATATAAGTAAAATCATGTTTAGAGTTCTTTAAAACTATGAATATAATGAAAGATCTATGATATCCATTAATGTTACTCAGTAGGTTAATAAAATGACTCATAGAAATACTTGTCTGACTGAAAGAAATACAAATACCAACAAATGTCTATTAGCTATCCTGTCACCTTTAGATTCTTATAAGGATGAAAAAGTATGTACTGTAGATATGAACAGGACAATTAATGTATCTACTTTAGAAGCAAGATAACTAATTAAAATGATTAAAATAATACAATGGAATGATCATAAGATGAAGATGCAAGGCTGTGTTGATGTCTTGACACTGACAGACTGAATTACAAATTAAAAACAGACTGTGAAAAATGCATAGCCGTACACATAAGCCCTGTTTTTGACTTTGCTTTTTCAGGGAAGCAGGAAGAGTTTATTCCTGAGGTATTAATTAATGTAACTCCAATATTTAGGCCTTTGTAGTGAAGCACATTTCTCTTTAGTGCTGATAATGACTCCTTGCTGGAAGCAACAGCTTCACTTTCGATTACTGATCATTCTGTTGATGGGATCCCTTTTTAATCCCTTATTCAATCTTAACATTGCGAGCTTTATGATATTAAGATACTTTTGATTAGGAAATTTAATAGAAATAAATTAAACTTGGCAGAAGGTAAAAGCTATACACATAATATATATAGCTGTTGTATATAAGGAAATTGTATAATTCATTTTTTAACAATAATCTTACAACAAAAAGGCATTTTCATTTTTTAATGTGGTGTTCATAAAAGATTTTCACTGCAGTAATATGTGTTTTCAAGCGATGCAATAATGAAATAGAAACTGTAGATCCAGACTTTTAAACCTTTATTAAGGAGATTATATTAACTTTGAAGAATATATTTTTTTCTGTAGACTTTGTCTGTAGAGTGCTGTAGTTGTTCCCGGATTCAAGGTTATTACTAGTATTTTGCCCACCTTAAATAAATGAAATTATTTATGTATTTATGTATTCTTTGTCTTTGATAATTGAGAGACACTGGCTTTTACACAATTCTTACTTTTGCCCAACGTTAAACTTGTAAGGGTTTTTTTGCTTTCATTTCTTAAGAGAATATATAATCTTAGTTGACATGATCAGTACAATTTCTGAACCCTCAAACTTTACATGCAAGTGCAAAATGTCTGTGTGCAGCTACAGGTATGTGTTTCCCACAGGTGTGTCTGTGATTTCCCCTGGTCTATATGCTGTAGATAATGTTCTTTCAAATATTTGAACATTGTTGATGTATGTTTGGGATTTGTTCTCTGCTGTGCCTAAGTTAAAGTGTATTTTATGTCATATATTAAAGGGGCTAACTTTGTTGCTTCTGTTTAAAGCTACAGTCTTGAAGAAGGGCAGGAAGAGGAGGATAAGGGTGCTTTTGGGTAAATATTATGTGAACTCTGTAGTTTCTCTTTCAGCGGTCTTTACTGAATCTGTATGTTCTTCAGCTCTTTCTTCTTTTCAAATATACTTTCCCCTGGAGATACAAAATAAGAAAATGAAAATGGAATTTAAACATTCTACAGCACCTTATAATACACAATAGAGTTGCCATTTTTAATTTTATGCTTATTTTAATCTGTCATATTGGTGATCTTAAATAAAATATTGAAAATATTTCCACGTGGCTATAGTTAGGAAAGGTGAAATATCTTTTGCCGTTCTCTTTTCAATTAAGATAATCTGCCTTCATTCAACACACAAATGCAGAATATCACCTCAGCGTTATGACATTTTCATAGGAACAGGTTGGATTTGAAGGTCAGAATGCACTGAAACATATATGTGATCTCAACCAAAATTATTGGCTGGTATGTATTTACAGTACATTGCGATGCAATGTGCATTTTTAAAAATGGAAAAAAAATACTTAATGTTCTGACAAATAAAAGCTGTAGCAAACAGATACTGTATTTGTTCACAGAAGAGGCGGGTTTTTAATTTAAGGAAAACAAAGCCTGCCTTGACCCTAATGATAGTGGTAATAGCAGGCTAAACAACAGAGCGATACACCCAGAACTCTTTTGGAACGTTTAGAAGAAACAGCATTAAGAATTAAAGAAAGTGTGGGATTCATCTCTACAATGATGGGACATTGTATTGGCTGGCATGATATTCTACCACATCCTATCTGGTGATTTATTTATAAGCTGCTTTCTATCCCTCTCTCTGCCTCCATCTCCCTACTGTAGCTCGCACTCTTTCTCAGATCCCTGCTGTCTTTTCCCTTCTCTCTCAAATTAGAGAGAGAGAGTGTCTACTCTGTGCCTCAGTATCCAACATTGGGAACAGTCAGCTGAACATCATGATAAGACCAACAATCTGGACATGGAAAGGGCTTCAGCTTTGCACCCTGAAACAATAGGCAGCCCCAAGGTGTCATAACGGGGACATGGCGTTAACTGACATGCTGTGAAAACAATTGTCTAGACACAGCAAAAGAATAATTGGAAGAATAACCAGGAAGCAGAAGCTTGATCATTTGTCATAGTCTTGTTCCAGAGGATTGTCACTCTCATGATTCCATAATGGATCAAAGCTGGATACAAGCTCTGAATGGTTCATTGCAGCCTGGACACCATGATTTGTTATCTTTTTCAGGAACAATATTTCAGAATAAAAAAATGTCACGCAAAAGTATCACTTAAGGTCATTAATATCTGACTTGGACAGCCAGGGAACATTTATAATTCATGGTCTCTGCTGCAGTTGAAGAGCAAATACAATGCTGAACAATAGGATTTGTGTTCTAATCACCCCTACTGTCAAGTAGCCAATGACAGGGCTCTGATCACAGACTGACTCAACTGGATCACTTGGTCCCAGGTGATGCCATATGATAGCCAATTTAAATGAAACTTTAACTCCATTCACAGTAGCCCCAAGCAGACTGTAGCCTGGTGCCAATTAATTATTGATTGCTGTCTTTTTTATTTTAATTTGACCTTTTCTTCTTAAAGGGTTACCCCTTTATTCCGATATGTTGCTTCCCCCTCTCGGAGGCTTTGCTATTGATTAGAAATGTGTCACAGGTAGAAATATTGAGTTTTAGTAATGGATTGTAATTGCTCGCTACTATTCAAGTTCTGCTTGTTACAGTTTGAGATGAACCAAGGTAATGGGAAAAACTGAAGCGCTACAGTTTAAGGGTAAACTAACTTAATTTCATTTTTGAACATGAGTGGTAATGACTTCATAACCGCTGATGGGTTCCCTTTGGCAAGAGGAGGACTGACATTTTCAATTCACTGCACAGATTTTGCTATGTGCTTTCTTATAACAAAAGGTCTTGTCACATCTATTGCACCATTGTATTCCTTTTTAACATAGTCTGTCCAAAACACTCCAAAAACACCTCCTGGAGAGCAAGAAGAGTGGGGGTTTATAGAAATGGGAGGCAAGGTGCTTTTCAGCCCAAATACTGTACCTTTGATTTTCACAGGATTTTCATTTTAGATTTTACCAAATAATAAATTCACAGTTCTAATAGAGTAGGCTATATTTAAGTAGAAAGCAGCATTAAAGCAACTTTACTTAATGCAAATTGCAAGTTTTCTGTCAGGACTACTGATGGTGCTTCATTTTCTCTGAGGATCATAGCCCAGCAGTGACAAGTGTCAAAGATATTTAATTGTACAAGGTCATCTAATATACAATCAGTGCAAAATGTGCATGTAACAGAAAATGAAAAAGCTAAACATATAAACTGACTTTTTTACTGTGTTTTTAAATTAGACGTAAACAAATCTCCTTTTTTTAAATGTCCACAATTTCTCCATAATCTCCAATATTTTTTCTATTTTTGCCTCCTCTCATTTGTAACTGTTCTTATGCTCTTTCATCTGGCAGTCACTTTTTAGAATGATTTTATCATTACAAATACACTATTTCTTTTTTTCATTGTATGATTAATAATGGGTATCTATTTTACATACTTTTGTTTTCATTGACAACAAAGTGAAAGCATATCCTTGCTTTATTTCATCCAGAAAAATGTCTGAGCTCAAGAACAAACTGAATGATGGATACCAGGCAGTAGCAAGGTACTGTCTCTGTGTGTTTAATGCCTTTCTGTAAGGCTAACCAAACCAAAATAAGTAATTAATGTTGAGAGTGCTGTGCAATGTGTGGGGCATGCCCTTCATGTTGAGATGAATATTCAACAGAAAAGCACTTAAGAAAGGGCAAGTACAGTAATGGTACTCTTACTGAGGTGCAAACTGTTCTAAAGCATTTGTGTTGCCCACATTCTATACAAATTCTCATTTGTATGTTTCTGTAAAATGAAATTTTTAGTGAACTTTTTATGTACCCTGATTATTTGTCGAATAATATCTAACATATAGGACATATACTGTATATGCATCTTACACTAATATGTTTGGAAACAAATGCACTTATACTTATGTTTGAAAGCAAGTATGCTATGAATTGTAACCTGGAATGCCTGTATCATCTAATTTTCTGACAGAGTTTCTGACAGAGTTATGTCAGTTAATTAAGTTTCCAAAGTTCCTTTTGCATGTTTGATAAGGACATCTTTGTAGTAGTTGAATAAGACCTGTATAAAGTTTTGCATAAACATTTTTTTCTTAAACCTATGGTTTTGTCTGCAGTGAAGAGGTGGATCCTGGGTATGTTTGCTGTGGTGTTTGAAACCTGAGTGCCATAGTGCTTCATGTACTGTAGATAAGATTATATGAAGCACTCTCAATGAGTAAATGCATGACTGCTGATATAAAAGCTGATATTTCTTCTCTTCTTCCTGAATCTAACATTTAAACTTACCGACTATAAAACTAACTAGCAATAAAATCCTCTGAGGACATCAGTCCACATCCATCTGCTATTGATCACAGCTAGCTAGAGTACTGTAAGTGCATTTAGAAACTGCACCTACACAGAAATAGACCAGGGGTTTTCATGAATAGTCTAGTCTGAATATTCCTGGTGGTGCTGTCACATGAACAACAGAAATTACAATAAAGGTTACACTCCAAAATAATGGCAAAATAATTCCTAATTCTTATCAAATCAGCCTCAGGCCCTTCCAATGGCTTCTGTATACATTCTGGTAGTGAATGATATTGACCACTAAAAATGATCAATGTGCTTCAAATTCAGAATGAATACTCTCTGAATTTATCATGTTATCAGAAAGTATTTACTTTGTTACCTGTGCAATAGACGAAGTACTGTATATGTCACACATAAATTAATACAATAAATGAATTATATTATATTAATGTATTAATTTTAATATTTTATTATATATTGTATTAAAAGTAATTCTAACTGATTGAAATGTAATTTTTTGGATTCCTTTTCAATCACATATAAACACATTTTAGCCGTATTTATTAGCATTGATGAATCATAGAATAGCAATAAAGAATTCTGATGCTTTTGCATGTGATGATAAATTTTTAGGCCACGTTAGCTAAAAATGTAATCAGTGTTGTGTGAATTTGAAGTGTTTTTTCTTTGTTTTGGTTGCTGTGCTCTGCTGTTTCTCTCTTTGCTCTGTTGTTTGTTTGCTTGTTTTTGAGTGTGAGATAATTTCAAAGGCAGGGCTGAGTTAGGCTACAATTGGTATAAGTGGTTTGTGGGATAATATGTCCTTTTGTTTGTTTGTTTGTTTGTTTGTTTGTTTGTTTGTTTGTTTTGGATGTTCGAGTGGTTTCAGTTTGTGAAGCAAAGCTTGATTGTAGGCTGATGATAATAGACATGTCCTCCCCTTAATAATGATTCTGCCATTTCATTCAATTGATTTTTGTAATTTCAGACCAAAGGATAAGAAGGAAAAAAGACATAGCATTATTTCTTTCAGGTACATCTTAATTTAGCTGTTATTTGTTTTCAAGTCAGCAGTCTATATGATAACATCACAGAAGATTCTGTTTTGAAACACCAGGACTATTTTCTCTTTTTTGCTGTTGGTAGTAACTCAATAATATTTAAAACTTAAATAAAAGTTTATACAAAGTATAATTTTAAAAATATGTATATGTTAGAAATGTTGAACAGTACTTACACAAACTTGATATGTACAAAACTCTTATTATTTCATGCTAACTTCAGTTTTTATTAACACTTGGCAAACACTGAAGGGAATTCACACTGATCCTATTGGCAAGATGTCTCACAGTAATTTAGACTTTAAATCTCTTTGTGATATTCCTTGAAAAAAAATGTATCGTATTACCCATTACAGTATAGTATGCTTCTTTAGAAATAATATAACAAAAATAAGATCAGTGCTTTTTTTGTGAACATTTTGGGCTAGTCAAAATACAAAGAATGGAGTGTACTAAACGTGGAGAGACAGTATAAAAAATAAAAACACTATTAGGAGGACAAAGATGTGCTCAGTAAGGGTGGGCCTTGCTAATGCTTACATGAAGTTCTTCCACAGAAGACAAGGCCTTGAAAAGAAGTGACAGTGAGGATTGTTTAAGGCATTAGTTTTCTGTCATAAGGTAGCCTAAATACAGTACCTCACTAAGCATATACATCCTTTCAAAAAGCAGCTGCTGAAACTGAATCCTGTATCTTTTCAGTTTTGCTGCTGTTGTCGTGGTTTCGAAGCACCCTCAGAGAAACTCTAACATGTTTCCCCCTCTTATGTTGCTGCTTCGCTGAATTATGTTTTATCAGATGAATTATTGAAACATTAATTGTTCTAAATGTCCGCTGTTCACTTTGGCCCTGCAAGCAAAGGGAAGGACAAGAATGGGAAGGAAGGCAAAGACAGCAAAGGAAGTAAAGACAGCAAAGACAAGTAGGTATAAACCAGGAATGGGCTGTACTGAGTTAGCTGAATGATTGGACTACACGGGGGTGGCAAGGTGGAAACTGCTCTATCTGTAATTTTCTTACAAATGAGTCAATTGTGTTTTTTTTGTCTTGAATAGCTTTAGTGATTGATTCAGTAGTTTAGTCAAACACTAATTAAGGCAGAAAAATGGCCCAATACAAACAATGAGCTTTATTGAGGTGACACACCTGACTCTGTCAGTAACCCCTTTGATGAAGGGTGAACCAAGAGCTGCAACATGAGAGAAGATTGGGTGGAGGGAGACTTCGAAATAAAACATGCAAGTGAGTAAGCAAGAAACTATTGCTATTTACATGTAGGTAGGCAGGAGTGGGGGAGATCTGGGTTTGACCTCCCACTGAACGGTTGTTTAAAATTCCATTAGTTATCGGTGACCTGGGTCTCTTAATTCAACAGAAAAATGTTTCACTAACTGAAAATAAAATACTTTTCCTGGAAACACACATTTACAGCAATGATCTAGGTCTCTCTGGATCTCTTAGATTTATAGCAGAAAAAAATGTTTCACAAAATGTAAATAAAGACTTTTACTGTACATCAAGTCTTTTATTTTTTAAAAGCTAACATGTTTAGCTTACAACTGATATAAAATGGTCACTATACTAATGCCACAGTAGCTGATGTAAATTTACTACTAATAAATATCTTTAGATCATAATTTTGGAATAAAACAACAGTATTCTTAAGGATTATCCATTCCGCATACTATTAAAGAGAAATTAGGCATAATTTATACTTTTATGAAAATGCATGGATGTATGAAGAGATTATAAAATAATAAACAGACTACCTTCCAAACTGTGGCCTGCTAGATTAAAAAATTGTTCCATAAAAAAATCCTTTTGAATGCATAAAATGGCTTAGATGGAGAGTAGTGTAAATTAAAAAAAAGATTAAAAGTGTGCACAGCTATGAAACATGTTGTGAAGTTGATATTTATGTGTAGGTTAACTGACATGCTATGATGGTTTTCTTAAAATTTCAGTTTTAGAAACATCTGTAAAACAGTATAAAACCTTCAGATTTCATTTTAGGCTGCATGTTATCCTTAGACTTTTTCAGGTTTTGGAATTAACCTTCATCTGTTCCCTTGTAAGGGATGACCTGCTTTATCTACCGTACACCTTCAATGACTGTGCTCGCTAAGAATGACTATAATGAAAATGGAAAGTTATGATTACTGTACAGAATATTCATTTTGCTCTGCGTAACTAACAAACTGGCTTGGAAGGTGCTAATTAATGTTCAAAACCTATTTTGTTTAGAATATGAAAAGTAGGAAGGCTTTGAAAGGATGTAAAAACTGTCCTTTGAAAGAATACATTTAATGTCTTTATCAAACAGTGTAAACAAACAAAGCGATTTCAATATTCATCCATTTATCTATTTATTTATTTTGTAGAATCTTAATGAAATTACCCAACAAAATAATTAGGCGGTTTTTCAGTAGACTTGGCTTGTTCTACCCTTTGTGGCATTTCAAAGAACAACAGTATCACTAGGATCTAGTTATGGTGACGGTTGTCTCAGGTTCGTATTGCTTCATGCAGTATTCATAAGCATATCAGATCTCGCCAGACCAATTGCAGTCTCAGACCAAACCGATTCTTTTTTGCAACTTTACTTTTGTGGACTTTCTGTTTCTGTGATATAAACTCAAAATAAGGAATGTAGGAGTAGCTTTTTCAGAACCAGTTCCAGTTGTTTTTTTTATAACTGGGACCTATCAGAACTGAGTCTGGGAAAAGGGAACGTGTTGTTTTTTACATGGTATGTAGCTTGTTCATCGGTTGATGCTTTGTTGTATACAGTCAAACTCTGCAGTGGATCAGTAGTGTCCAGTTAAAGCTATGAACATTGAATGTAAATTTTGGAAAAAGCTTGCAACTGTTGCTTTTTGTTAAATTGTTCTTTTTTATTTTAGAATTACAATTGCTGTGAAATCAGTTTACGGTTTTAATTTAATAGATATTTCTGCATGATTTGGCTAATTTAATGCATTTGATTATGAATTGTGTGAAAAGGAAAAGCATGAGGCAATACATTATATTGTTTGATTATGTTAATGTGAGATCAGGAGCTCCAATTAAGAAATAATTTGAGATGTGGTGCATTTTCTTCTTTAAGGAAGTTTTGTCGGACTTTTTAGAAACACTTGTACCTGAACTACACACAGCCATTTACAGTGCTGCCTGGAATGTCTGCTGCCTTATAGTCACCTTATTTAATATTTGTGTATCTGCGTCTAAAAATAAAGTAGCATAACATGTAAATGTTAATCTTTTTTTTTTTAAAGAACAGGAAATATTCTTACTAAAATATCAGTCAGGTAGTGTTTGAGCATTTTAATTTTAATAAACTGAGCTGCTGCATAATCAGTGCAAACACTCCGGAGTTAAATTAATGCATATACTGGAAAACATCATATTCTATATCTTGCTTGAGGTACTCTTATTCTGTTCAATGGAACTTTTTAATAATATCCTAGTCTAACTTTGAAAATTGAAAATATTAAAACAATTATGCTTAAAGATTCCACAGATTACATAGATTAATCTATTAATAGATTTACGGGAAAATAAAGTATTCAATTCATGGTTATCTTTAAATATTAAGATGCATTATTTGTAAGCTGGGCAGTGATCACCAGTCAATAGCTGTACATATTTGAGTCTGATTGTTGGATTTCTTCTAGTTGAGACAGATTTCTTTTATGAACAATTTCACTATGCTCAATTGTACTACCAAGACGATTTTTGCTCTTAATTTAAGAGAATACTAGATTTTTGTTAACATAAAGGTTTATTTTAATTGGTGATGGGGTGAAATGTATAATCTGGAAAATCCATCTATATCTTGGTGGGAAACCAATGGGGGATATACCATGGATTGGGGGGGGGGGATTTGTGGAAAGGGTATTTTTCATTTGTACTTGCTTTATTCTACTTAAAGTTAAAAAAATTAAATTGACAAAAATAGTTTAAAAAGAACTTCAAACTATTATAATTTAGTCATTAAATTAGTAAAGGCAGCAAGTGAACAAATCATGTCTTATGAAAATTATAATGTAAAGACTTTCAGTCATATACATCAACATAAAATGAAAATGTGTAATTGCTTGTTTAATGTCTCTTAATTCATATTTTTAAATGTAAGTCATGTTTGTTTTATATTTGACTTGTAAATGGGTTCTCGATGTTTAAAACATTATTTTAAAATGTATCCCCATTTCACACATACCTCTAAAATTTGAGCAGCTCCACTTTCCTGTGGCTGAAAAGATATTCCAAGCCTGGAGACAAACATTCTGCTCTACACAGTAATTTCTTCATCCTGATGGAAACCTTGCATCAGAAATTTAAGGATCGAAATCCTCACCGTGCTACTGGGTTTTATTTCACACAGAGCAGAGAGAGGAGTGTTTGCAGCCATGAAGCTCGGGAAGACACGCACCTCAAAGGAAGACCATAAGAAAGGAGGTAATTGTCTTGGCAAACTCTTCCATGCTTCCATTGAGGCAAGTCTGAGAACCCAGGATAAGGTTTGGGATGCTAACATCCTTTTATTCTATTTCCTTTACATAATTTTGGGAACAGTAAGAATTATCTCTCTCTGTTAGGTCATACCATCTATGATCATCCATTTTATCAATACCAGGTTATACTACTCGTCAATTGCAATAGCATTGCAGCAGGGAAAATCCACCAGTTACTGGAAACTCTAAAAGTATTTCTCCTTTTTCAAGAACATTTCTGTTCTGAAAGTTGCACATGTAAACTATTAAACCACTTGGTTTTGGTGTGGCAGGGAATTTGTCTTTGGTGGTTTCTTATTGAGGCCAATGGATGAGTGTATAATATGAACAAAAATGGAATCATCACAAAAAAAGCAAATAAGAAGAATGGTGCACTCACTTTAATGGTAAATATATATATAATAAGCATCTAAAGAAACTCACAACCCTTTTTATATATGTTTTCAAAAAATTATGTATACTATTACTTTGAAGAAGTACATGTTGGCTGTAAAGAAACAGGTGAAGTTTTATTCCATGCTGAATGGAAAAGAAAAGAGACACAACATTTCAGCTGTGTCTCTTTTCTTTTCCTTTCAGCGTGCAGTAAACGTTCACCTATTCCTTTGCATACTATTATTTTGATTAATTGATCATTCATGACTGACCATGATGCACTCGAGAGACTATAATTAGAAGAAGGTTCGATCAAACTTTTTTGCCACACAACAATTGTGGTTGGAATTTGCTTTCAGTGCAGCAAAGAAACACTGATGAGGCAGTCATACATCACATACAATAATTAAAAAATGAATGCAAGTTGAAATGAAAAGTCAAGAAAAGCAGAATCACAATCACATGTATAGATACATATTATCTTTACATTTGGCAAACAGAATTGTAAAAGAGATGCTCACGGGAGGCTAAATACAGAAGATGAAGGGGGAGAGTTCAAAGTTCGTAGGGAAAGAAGGTAAGGTTGTGAAGGCTTATGTAAAGGATTGAAATGAATAAGAGTTCACAGACTTATTTTTGAGGCTTTGGACACGATCCTTTCCAGTTTTCCTTTCGTATGGCCGTCCAAATTCCCATACCAAACAGTGATGAAAGCTTTTAAAATGCTTTGAATTATGATTGAAGAAGCTGCTGGTTCATTCTGTGTGTTTTAACTTGCCTAAGAAAACACATCCTCTGATGCACCTTCTCAACTGTATGATCCTTGATTTAAGATTGTCTCTAATTTATGTTCCCCAGAATTTGAAGGAATTTTTGGTTACTATAGGATGGTCATTAATTGTGATGCTGAGTTTTATGTTCTGGACAAGTCTAAAATCAATCATGATTTCCCTTGTTTTTGCTACATTAAAACACCCAGTTGTTCCCCAGTCAATCACCTGTCATTATGGAGCCTCATCATTATTAGAGATAAGGCCAATAGTAGTGTCATCTGCATATTTAAAAATATCAACTGAGTCTACCTGAGATGTGAAGTTGTTCATAAAAAGTGAAAAATACCCAGAGATAGGACACAGTCTTGGGCAGTGCTTGTGCCAAAAGTCAGAAGGAAAGATGTCCTGTTATTCACTTTGACAGTTTTTACGACAAGTAACAAACATCCAGAATTCAACAACACATAGCGAAATTGTCCAAAAACGGATACAAAAATAGGGATTTGGCTCGTCCGAATTCTGGAGTGTACAGCGGAGAGCCAGTTTAACAGCATCCTAAACAGAGCTGTTGGCCCTGTTCACAAACTGGTGAGGATCCAACAGGAAGATGTGTCCATCTTGAGGTGGTTCAACACTCCCCACTCAAAGACTTTCATAGTCACTGACATTAGAGCAGTTGGTCTGTAGTCATTAAGGCAGCATATCAAAACATTGGTGAAAGAGTTGGTTCTGCATAGTTGAACTAACCAGTTGTTTGTCAAGCCTGGTGAAAATCAAGAAAAAGGAGAAAATGCACTTCTTATCATGATAACACTGCACAGTCAGTTGTTCACAGTGCAAGAATGTTTGATATTCTATCAACTGTAAGATCGCAAGTCACCACACTTTACCAAAATTGACACATTATCGTGCTCTATTTTCTTGATTATGTTCATACCTGCCAGTTCCACTGCATCAGAAACTCCAGATCAAAACACCCCTGTTTCAGTAGTTCAGATGTGAGTTAAATGATCATATGACATCTGTAATTCACTCCTTTAAAAAGAAAGGGTTCAGAAAAATGAACATGTAAATAAACTACCTCACCTTAAATCTCATCAAGTTTTAGAACTTGGCAAAGCTGGGTCTCAATAGCCTTGGGATGGGAAAGTTTTCTTTCCTGGTCCCCAAGTCCAGTCTGCTGAAGTGGCACATTGTTCTGTGAAAGGTGGTCTTTTGACTGCCATGTTAAACCATATCATTGACACCAAGAGCTGAAATGTTGTGTTTCTCCTTTCAATTTTTGAGTGGAATTAACCTTTACTTGTTCCTTTGTAGCCAATGCACACTGATGCAGCTCCCCACTTGCACCTATTAAACCAAGGCTCTATCCTCATTAGTGAATAAATTAAAGCATGATACTGGAATGTTAACTCTGTTGTTATTGCTGAAAAACTTGTAAAGCCTGCTTTTAATAAAGTCCCTCTATCTTAGAGATGAGTCAATTTTGTGACATGTTGCAACCTCTAAAGACCATATAACAATTTTAGAATATGTCTTAACCTGACCCAAGCCACCTCCTAAGTCTCCCTTGTGCAATCCATTATTTTCAGGTGAGAATCCATAGTAATGAGTCATCTTCTGCTTGGAGGCTATTCAGCATATGTAGTCTGTTTGTTAGTAGTTAATCCGGGTATTGGATTCAACAACATGGCAGGGCAGTTTAAGTGCCTAGTAAAGAACTGCCTGAAGGAAAAGGTACTTAGTTACAAATAATCATGGAATATTAAACACTATTGAAAAGTGTATGGAAACATATGGGTTTTTACTGACAATAGAAACTGCAGAAATAGAAACCCCTCCTAAATTAACTTTCCTGTCTTTTAGATGAGCCAGCAGTTCTTGAAACAGAGGACTTGGACAGGAAAGCTATGCGTCTGGGAGGAGGTCTGGATCCAGACACAATTTCACTGGCTTCTGTCACTGCTGTCACCACCAATGTCTCCAACAAGAGGTGAATGCCTTCACAAACCTGAAATGCAGTTATACTGTACTTCATTGGAGTTTACGGTCGTCGAGTTCTTACTCATGGGCTACTTGAGTTCAGTTTTCTACTCTGGGCATATTTTTAAATCAACTCTAAATAGACTAAATCTGTTTGTATAGTCACATTTTGATGCATTTACTGATATTTGCTGGTGTGCTACATGTAATGCGCCTCTTTAATGCAAAAGTCACACAATTAGAACATATCAAACACACAATTAGAGCATATCAAACATATCTATTATTATAATTAAAATTTCATTCATATCATGACTGATATGAAGCACAACAAATTTTCTTTTTTAATTGGTTGATATAAAATTATTTTTTCCAACTTTCAGATCAAAACCAGATATTAAAATGGAGCCAAGCGCAGGAAGACCAATGGATTACCAAGTAAGTAGAAAAACACTTGCTGGGACCTTCCAATAAATGATGGCATTAAGTCAGTGTCAGATAACATGCTATAAGCAGCCTTCCTGTTGGCACAACAATGGTAATTCTTCCTCCTCTTATTTTGTTTTTCTCAAGAATGTTGTGCCTACTCTTGTCACAGATGTGTTGACTATACCTTCCGCAGTTTCTGCCTCATAGTAATTGCTTAGACATTTAGCATCATTGGCAGCAATGCAAATATGATTATGTAGCTAGTTGCCTTGATAGTTCCCAGTCTACCTCTAGAATACACCCTGTTTCCTACATACTGTAGGTGTTGCTGTCCACTATTGACAGTCTCCTTTAATTTTCTTTAACTTGATTTAAAACACTTCTCATGTATTATTATAGGTTTGACCAGTTTTCAATAAATTTCTCTCCAGGTCAGTATTACTATTATTGAAGCAAGACAGCTGGTGGGATTGAACATGGACCCTGTTGTTTGTGTGGAGATTGGAGAGGAGAAGAAGTACACATCGATGAAAGAATCAACAAACTGCCCATACTACAACGAGGTAACCTGTTATTGCTGTATAATGCATTGTAATGAAAGAACAACAGGTCAAGTCTTCAGCTCAGCGTAGGATATGTGCACCCCTTTACCCGTAATAGGCTCAGGGCTTCAATAATAAATATATTGAGGCCTCCCCAAGGACTGGGCATTGTACCAATCGTTTTTTATAAGCAAGTCTCACGAAAACAGACACAAATGCTTCTGTAAAGTAGAAACAGTGCTCTTTGTTAATGTACAGTGCAGGCAACACAAAGCAAATAAAAAAAAACTAGCTGCTCTTTGAGCTTTTGGGTTTCTTGAGGTTCCCTCACTAATTACAGCCAGGCATCTAAGCTACTTAACAGCTTTTCAAAAACAAACTTACCATAAACTGAGGAAGTCATGTCAAACAGACTTTCCAATTCAATAAAATTCCCACAAACTATAGGATTCTTTGCAGATCTCTTTCCTGCTTCTCTTCCTATTGTGTCTGTCTTCTCCTATGTCTTTCCCCACAGGATACTCTCTCCAGGAAGCCCCAGCTTCCTGGTTTTTAAAGCATCACTTGCCTTTAAAGCAACTGGTCAGGAAACTGAGGATGGCAGGACATTCCCCACAGCAGCCTGGGAAATATAGTTTAGCCCTGAACTGCCATTTTGCTGGCCCCTATCCTCACAATATCTATGGAAAACACAGTAAAACAAAAAGGGGGAAGCAGATGTTTTGTATACTATTATTATTATGACATGACACTACTGTATGTCAGAATACCTCTGACAACCCTTTTCAGAGGATGTTGCACAAAAGAGAGAACAAGATCATTCAAGATCATTTTGAAATTTTATGAAAAGTAAATCACTGAATATTTCTGTGCCTTGAAAAGCTGAAAGGTTTCTGATCCAGCTGCTGCAAATACCAAGTCTAGTAATGATACTGTACATCAGCTCAGGACCAATATCTGACTAAAGAGATAGTTGTTCTATTTGTAATGAGTTGCAGTGGGATGATACCAAAGATAGGTCTGTTTTGTTTCAATGTTTTAATACTGTAGATTAAATACAGTTATTAAAACTATTTAATTGCTTATTCATTGATTATTGATTCAGATATATGAAATTAATCTGGTGTTCTGCAAGTATATCAAGTGATTTGAATAAATCACTGGATAAAAAAACTAACTGATATTTCAGGTTGAATCAGCTGATCATATTTTATTTTAAGGTGATTGTCATGAATAAAATCTTGTCATTTATACACATTTATCAACTACATACTGTAGCTCTCTAATTTAAAATGATTTTCTGGTGGCAAAACTAGTACAGGAAAGATAGCTGTTTGCCTGTTCTTTTTATATCTTTATGCTATTTCTCAGTAAAATATCATTTACATGCAAATACATGTATTCTTTTTCACCTAGTTAAACTGATACAATGTGATGGAAGTCATTTCAAGTAATTAAAACTTTATTTCTTTTCCAGTATTTTGTTTTTGACTTCCACGTGCCTCCTGATGTAATGTTTGACAAGATTTTAAAGCTTTCAGTAAGTACAATCTTATATTTGTATTTCAAGTATTTGAAAATACTTTGCAAACCTGACTCCTGTTTATTAAAAATCAATCCAGAAAAAAGCTAAATACCTTTATTTCTTTTAAAAATTCTCATTTTTCTTAAGGTAATACATTCCAAAAACCTGTTGCGTAGTGGCACTTTGGTTGGAATGTTTAAATTGGATGTGGGCACAGTGTATTCACAGCCTGGTAAGAAATATTTAAATCCTAATAGCTATCATTTTAATCTCTCTGTTCTTGCAAGTGGTTTAACAAGCCATTTTTTGTGTGATGAATACCTTCAACAGAACATCAATTCTACCACAAGTGGGCCATCCTTTCTGATCCTGATGACATCACTGCAGGGGTAAAAGGTTATCTGAAGTGTGATATTGCTGTGGTTGGCAAAGGAGACAACATTAAAACTCCACACAAGGCCAATGAAACCGATGAGGATGATATAGAAGGGTAAAAGTCTCAATAATTTACCGTACACGTCTGTAAAATTTGTATTTTAGTTAAAATATCCTTCAGCATAAAATATAATAGAGCACATAATGCAATTGTGTTCAATACATGAATGTTTTTTTTTGTTTTTTTACATGAATGCTCTTTCATATTTGCAGAGATACAGTATATTTAAAAAACAGCACTGTGAGTAACCTGAAACATAAATTTCACAGTGCAGGCAGCTTAGATCAAAATATTGAACACCTCCTGTATGTGATTAAGGGCTTCCTGTAGCTTAATGTTTTTCATTTTACATTCTGAGGTCATTATTTTCAGAAGTGTTCAAACATCCAAAAGTTTTAAGAAATCTCCCAGTTTTGTAAAACTCTGTTTCTCTTTTTTGGCTCTAAAGATGCATGTGTGTCCATTGCACATGTGATAAACTATTAAAGTAAATTAATTTAAAGGAAATAATTATATAAAATCATATTACATTTTATCCCTGTTCTCAACAATATTTTCTTTAAATAACTATGTTGAGATCCTTGGTACTTCAAGCTCATTTTACTGCTGAAAATGTTTTTTCTCAACGCAGGAACCTCTTGTTGCCTGAGGGCGTTCCTTCTGAACGGCAGTGGGCCCGCTTTTACGTCAAGATCTACAGAGCTGAGGGGCTTCCAAAGATGAACACTAGTATAATGGCCAATGTGAAGAAAGCTTTCATAGGAGAAAACAAAGACTTGGTGGACCCATATGTTCAAGTGCTCTTTGCAGGGCAAAAAGTAAGGCTGCTGGATTACCGCATCTTTTTTAACTATGATAATATGCAAAGAACACCTGCTTTATGCACTTAAAAGAATACTAATCATATACTGTACATAGAAATGTAATTGTAATGTAAATGATTAATTCAATGTTCATTCCCACCTGATTTAAATGTAATTAGTTTTGTAAAATTGTAAAGTTGTAATTGAAGATTACACGGGACTTCCTGTAGTTACTCCTGTGACAACCTGTTTATTTTTATTCAAATTCAGCATGAAGAGGAAATGGTTAATTATGTTTTGCTGCCTTAATGTTTTGATAGAAATAATCAGAATAAAATGAATAGGCCTTCAGCATTATTAATTAATTAGATATATTCCAGATATCTAATATTATGTTTTTGCAATCGCATAGCTGAGTAATTATTGGATGTGTGCATCATTAAACACTCTTTTTTCATAACAGGGAAAGACTTCAGTTCAGAAGAGCAGCTATGAACCAATCTGGAATGAACAAATCATTTTCACAGAAATGTTCCCACCTCTTTGTAAGCGGATGAAACTCCAGATACGAGATTCGGACAAAGTTAACGATGTAGCCATAGGAACACATTTTATTGATCTCCGGAAGATTGCCAATGATGGAGATAAAGGTGAAGCTGATTGTAATGGTTTGTTGTCGTATTGTGTTGTATTATTAACAATTCACTTCAAAAATCAACACATATACTGTACTGTATGACCGCACACAATGAATAAATGCCTTTCTTTAGAACTTAGGTAGACTAAAAGGTACTATTTATGTATGTACTATAATATGACAGTTCTAATACTGTAACTTATGTGAACTCATATACAACAAGATAAACAAGATAAAATGATGTGCACAAAATGAGCTGGGTTAAATGACTGTCCATATAAAGACAAGAGAGGGAGGCATCACTAACTCACCTCTCATGACAGGTTTTCTTCCAACCCTTGGCCCTGCCTGGGTGAACATGTATGGCTCCACAAGAAACTACACTCTGATGGATGAGCACCAAGACCTGAACGAAGGCCTTGGAGAGGGGGTCTCCTTCAGGGCACGCCTGCTCATCGGCATTGCCGTGGAGATCCTGGACACTACTTCCACGGAGATCATGAGCTCAACGGAGGTTCAGATGGAGGGCATCCAGAATATCTCTGAGGTGAGCCGACTTCGAGGGTCAATCGCACTTCACAGATTAGTGATTCATTCCATCTCAAAGGAGTCCTGATGCATTTGAAGTCTAAATTCATATTGACATTTCAATTTTGAATTTTGAAAAATTCAGCAATCCAAAGCAAACTCCCTGAAAACAAAGCAATTAAAAGAGGGGATTAAAGGTTTGTTTAGATATGGGTTCCAATTAAAATCATATACGGTTTAAAAACCTTCTCTGAACCCTGTTGTTGCATTTCTCCATTTTTGCATTCCCTGCATCTTACTGTCAAGGCAAGAACAAGCTCTTTCATCTTCTTTTAGCTTGTTGTCAGAAACATATTTGATTAATACCATATTCTGTCGTTTTACAAGCATTGCACTATAACTGCTATGTCTGGTAGTCCAATGCTGTTATCATACTGTAGTAGTTCAGCCATCCACAGAGATCAGGGAAGAAAGGAGGAGGTTTATAATGGATGCTGAATTTACACAGTGAAGGTGGCAGTACACTTACAAAACAAGGACATACAGATGAGATTGCTGCACACTCCTGTTAGATAATGTAGTCATCAATGTTGCCTGGTCCTAGGAATATACACAAAGGATAATGGTCTCCATATTTAATGAGATATTCAGCAATATTACGCTCTGAGAACCCATTAAAATCCCTAATAATAATTAATTATTAAACCAATAATAATTAGTTATTAAACAAATAACTGCTAAGGAGGGTTTAGAATCTGTAGCAGTGCTGTCTATGTGCACATCAAAGAATCTTGCCTTGTGAGTATTCTGAGTCTATTTTAAAAAGGTTTCCATTCAGTGTTGATATTGAAACATCAAAGAATACTCTAGACTGAAAATACAGACACAAGTTCTCAATTTAATTAAATGATCAGGGGAGTGTCTTTACTACTCTATGTCAGACTAGCATTAGAAGTCCATTCTTATTTCCATTCTTCTTTCCATTGCTTTTGTGACTGCAGACTGTACATGAAGTATTATAGATCAAACATGGAGGATTTCTATTAATAACAGATACATGCTTGAGCAAGGATGCACCACAAGAGGTGATAAATGATGAAAGTTACTAGCCCTGCATTATTAATACAACAATAAACTGCTCTCTGTTGTACTTCAGTCAATAATGCACAGACTCTTCCACACAGAGAGAGATGCACTGTGGTGTTTCCTGTAAGTGTTCTGTCTCCAGGCAGTCCAGGCTTTTATTGTCATCATCATTTCAGGATGAAAAAAATTAGTAGGAAGTTTATGATCCTGTGGTTAATTATATCACCAGGACAATAAACTTGTGTTTATAAAAAATAACAAAAATAAGATGTCATGGAAGGGTTTTGGATTTTGAAGTCTTGTTTTGTTTAATTATTTCAGACATTTTCCTCTCAGGTCATTAAACCCAGCAACAACTTTTTGCTTCTTATTTCAACTTGATTCATTTATTTTTGTTCTTCACTCCTGATTTTTAAAATTATTTTATCTGCTATTATACAGACATCCACAATGATTTTTTTTTACTTTTAGCATTGTGCTATAATTTGGCAGTTAGCACGAAGTAAAACAGAAAATATAATGATAGCTATGAAAGAATTCTCTAGTTCTCTAGTCCCAATTTTTACATTTGCACCCTAACATGCATTCCTTCAGTTGTCTTGTTTTTTTAATAAATCTTGTTTTAGAATGCCACGGGAAAGATTGAAGAGTTTTTCTTGTTTGGAGCATTCCTGGAAGCAACTATGATAGACAGAAAGATTGGAGACAAACCAATTAGCTTTGAAGTAACAATAGGTAAGGACTTGAGTAAACATTGAGTCTATTAATCTACTTCAGACGTGTATTGCACAGTTATAGTAATAACACAACAGTAACACATTATAGTTGTATTATTGGACTACTTTAAGAAACGTATAACTAGATCATTCTCTAGATTGAAAGGTTAGTTTAGAAATAAATCTTTTTTTAAAGTCAATAGCAGAGAGAAATTGATTCAAATCACCATTGCATTTCCAAGCAAATGAAAAATGTTAATATGATTGAAATCTCCAAACTCTTGAAAAGGAAAAACTAGAATGATTCCAAGATTTACTTCAAACCTAGGACAACAGATGCAATGGAGTGACATGATTGAAAATGTAGTTGTAACATTTTGACATTATATGCAGCATACAGGCCCCATTAAATGGTGATGGGGCTTTCCCTACTAAATTATTGTTGTATGCGCCATTCATTAGGCAATTATGGAAACCAGTTAGATGGTGTGAACAAGCCGACCATGAGGAAGAAGAAAAAGGACAGTGGTGAGAGTGATGAGGAAGAGTCAGAGCTTATTCAGAATTCCAGTGAGGACGAGACAGAGGATGATGGGGACTTGGTATCCGTCTCCTCTACTCCACCCATGAAGCCTGTTGTCACTGACAGGTCAGTGCAGTATACATTGTTTAACTTTTGCTTTTCTCGTTGGTCCTCAAAAGGAAACAATCTAAAAAACTGTAATGGATTCTGATCTTGTGGATTCTTTGAAAAATTGAGGTGCTGCTTTTAATCATTTTATACTGAGAACTTTTTCACATTAATACAGTAATGGTGTACTTTTCTGAACACCGTTTTAAGAATGAAACCCACACCTATGTGCTTTTAGGACAACAAGAACAGACATCAAAAGTCACTGGGTTTTGTGGGCAAAAGTCTCGAAAGTAATTTTCTACATTAAAAGAACCTCAAACATGCATCATTATTTCTCATACCTGGTAACTGAAGTACTTAAACATGAGGAACCATTAATTACTTGCAATCATTGATTCAGCTTCTGCTTAACTGCATTTCATATACAGCTGTAACTTGCTGATTATTTAAAAAGAGTCTTTAATTGTTTGTTGTATTGATTTCAGGAATTATTTCCATTTACCCTATTTTGAGAAGAAGCCTTGTATCTATATTAAGAGTTGGTGGCAAGACCAAAGAAGAAGACTCTACAATGCCAACATAATGGATAAAATTGCAGATAAATTGGTTGGTATTACTCCATACACTGAATTCTCAGGGTTTTGTCAAATTGATTTTATATGTGACAAAGCATGAGGAGAAAATACCTTATTGTATCACAAAGGGCAATTAAAAAGAAAAATTGTGATGGTCAGCATTTAATAAAAAAAAGTGGTCTTATTGCTTTCAAATTTCTATTGTATGCCATTTTTCAAACACATTGATTTTACATTGTTGTCACAGGAGGAGGGCCTAAATGACGTCCATGAAATTATAAAAACAGAGAAGACATATCCAGAGCGTCGACTTCGAGGAGTCTTGGAGGAATTAAGCAGTGGGTGCAGGTAAGACACCAGAGATAAATCAGACAGCTGCTGAGAGTAGTTGAGATAATATTTCCTATAAAATATCCAGACCCTTAATTCGAAAGTTTAACAGTTTTGCTTTTTTGTTGTTTTTATCCATTAACACTTTAGCACCAGGCTACAACACGTCTTGAAATATAAAATGTTTTTGTCTTGCTACGTTTCATCTGATTTCTTTCTAAACAAGCATGAACAAAGCATAAATAGAGAAAGTACCCTCATGATAGGAATTTGAGATTATCATGATTTTTCTTTGGCTGTAATGTGTCCTATGCAGGGTTGCTTTCATAGTAATAGGACAAAGTGTGTGTGTGTTCAGCATTACACACCAAATTGTAGAAGCCCCCTGTTTCTCTTTCTGTCATAAAGAGTCCTTTGTTCACTGTCTCATGCATCCCTTTGGGCTTGTTCTGTAAAAACTGAGCCATGAAAATTAAATTCTGAAAGCTCTGTGCAAGATAGAAGCTGATGCTCTGAAGTCTCACCAGTAATAATGTTGTTACAGTACATATTTTTATGGAAATAGGTGCAAATTTCACAGTGAAAGAATAGCTCAGTCCTCCATGCAACATAGAGCCTTTATTTAATGTACAAAATGGTAACATACCACCAAAATAGTAAATCTATTCAGTAAAGAGCTAGATCACTTAGTTATTAGATAAAGTGGGGCACAGGCATTAAGCAAATTATGATTTCTTAATCACTAAATTATGTAGGCGATGAGTTCATTCTTCGATATTCAGATTAGCTGCTCTCCTTGATTTTGTGACAAGGGAATGTTTGCAGAACTGGCAGTTGGTTGAAGGCACAGCTCCAGGGGCAGTGTTCTTTGAAATCACTGGCTTTGGCAATGAAGTCTTACTACTTTGATGCATATTCACTTTTAGAAATTTCCTGCCTGAATAATTTAAAATGAGTCCTACTCTTTCAGATGTAAATAAAACTTTCATTTCTTTAATCAAATGGCTGCAGTGTAAACTGATGCATGAAATATCTGCTTCCACTTTTAGGTTTTGTAATTCCTTTATTCTACTCTAGCATTACAAAACTGATCAGAAACTGAAGAACTCTAGCCTACTTGTTTCCAAGGGCTTATTTGTGACCCAGTCCATGTGGACAGTAACCACTTTTCGGAACATAATTATGAAACTGAGGGGGAGTTTGTATTGAGGGGAAAAACACCTTAATATGCACTTGCCTACTGGCAAAAACCTATTCTTTCAAGTAAGCTAAAAAACAACTCTGATAAAAAAAAAACATTATACTTTACAATAACAAAAGATTTTACTTTTCTTTACTTTGTTTCCTGGTGTCTTTTTTTCACATATACAACCCTTTGTTAACCCTTTTAATTTTCCTCTATATTGTTATATTGTTCCCATATACAGGTACATCAATATCAGTAAATTATATGCTGCTCAGCAATAGACTGTGTTCTGATGTGTTCTGCTGTTACTCAATGTATAGTCATGACAGGACATATGACTATAATGAGAAATAGAGAAATACAGTACCTTGACTTCCTATTCACCTAAAGACTACAACCAACCCCTTGTGAACACTGTGTAGCTAAAACATAAAGGAACAGTTTTAAAATATTTTAGTCTGTTCATGAATAGTTTAATGAGTCTGCTGTGATTCTCAAACCCTTCAATCTATCAGTCAGTGACCTTTAACACTCTGGCATGTTTAAAAAAGAAAGGACATCAGGTCATGGGGACCATGAATAACTGAACACAGACGAAGTGGTTCTTGCATTTTCACAAATCTTTGTTGGGGAAGTGTGGCCCATCGTTAATTACAGTTGATTAGTTGTAGTATTTTGTTATGCATGATTTCATTCTTACATTATAAATACAGTCAGGAAGTCTATAAATGGCACAGTGTCTCTTCTCTTTGGGGAAGATCATGTGACTTACCAAAAGTAAGGTCTATGGTTGCCTCTGATACATAAACCAATAGAGCACTCTTTTTCTTTTTAAGTACCTGTTTGCAAGAATTATTTCTAGAGTTTATTGGTGGCTCTTGGCTTTGTCTTTCAGTCGCTTCGTGACACTCGCAAACAAAGACCAGAACCAGGCTGGGCGAACAAAACTGGATAGAGAGAGGCTCAAGTCCTGCATGAGGGAGCTGGTATGTCAGAGAATTTGATGTCCAGGAAACAAGCGAACTGAGATCCCAAACACAGAGTATTCTTTTTCTGGGTTGTATTAAGTCAAAATGAAAATGTATTCAATACATTTGTTTTGTATAAGGGAGCACTGGATTTTATCCACTCTGTTGTTAGTGTTTCTCACTCCAGCAGTCTCCATTGCATTATTACACATCTGCTTGACCTTGTTCATGGAGCAATAATGCAGCTGGAATCTGCAGTAATTACTTGGAAGATCATTATAGGTGGATGTAAGATTTCCAGAAAACAAAGGAGAATACAAATTTGAAAGTCACTCAAATTTATTTCAAAAGGTTGAAATGCTGTTTGACCTTAATTGATCTGACAAAGACTAAAATTCTATTTACTGTATTTGACATTATCTAGAAATCTAGCAATAATAAATTGCTTTTAAGTAAGCAGTTACTGTATGTCTGTTATGTCTGTCTATTATTTTCCAAATAATAAAATAACGGTATATGTATTCAGATTATTTAATTAATATGTCTCATAATGTTACTTTTAAGCAAAATCCTTTCTGTTAAATATGTTGTACTTCTCTTGCTTCCTACGTTTAGGAAAATATGGGTCAGCAGGCAAAGACTATCCGATCCCAAGTGAAGAAGAACACTGTCAAAGACAAGCTAAAATTGGTGCAGAACTTCCTGCAGAAGTTAAGATTCCTAGCAGATGAGGTAAAGTTGAATCAGCCTATACCTACAGTAGATGCAAAAAGACTTATAGAGTGATGAAAAAGTAAGTACACCGCTTTAAGATTTTATGGTTTAGGATATTTAGGCATATTTGACCTTCACCTAGTCCTTACCAGGTCCTTAAATGAGATATAATGTAGTAAACCCATTTAACAAATAACACACAAACGCTCTACTTTGTAATTATTTATTGATAAGAAAATACACCAGTATTTACTGTAATATCTTTGTGTGAAAAAGTAAGTGCACTTCGATTCAGTCAGTTGTGACACCCCTTTTAGCAGCAACAACTTGAATTAAACATTTCCTGTAAAAGTTGATGAGTCTCTCACTTTGTCTGGGAGGAATTCTGGTCTGTTCTTCCTTACAAATATGCTCCAGTTCTGTAATATTTGAGGACGTCTGGCAATCCTTCCATGTGTTACCACAATGAGAAAGGCCTTTAGATACCTGGATATAACCTTTAGGTTCCTTGAGACTTCTAAACAGAGTTGTACGGTCAGATCATGGAGAGAATTTGATAGGACAGACACTCCTGGGAAAATTGGCAATTGTCTTGAGTTTTTTCCATTTGTTGATTATCTTTCTGACTTCGGAATAATGGACTTCATATCGTTTAGAAATGGCTTTGTAACTCTTCCCCGACTGATAAGCAGCAACATTTGTTTCTGTAACACTGTGACAGATTTTGTTTTACCTGAGCATGATGTGTAACCACAAACCTGAGTGCTTAAGACCACACTAACAATGTTTCTGATTTCATATACAGGTAAAAACACTTCCAGGTGGTCTACTATACATTTGCACATGTTTTGGTGCTCCTGGTCCTGCACACCTTCTTAAATGAGATGGTAGAACTAAGGGTGCACTTACCTTTTCACATTAGGATATTGAATGCTGGATGATTTTTTTTAAAGAAATAAGTGGGTTTTTCTGCATTATTTGTTAAGTGAGGTTAGTTTGTTTTTCTACTCTTAGGACTTCGTGAATACTAGGTGAATGTCACATACAGTAGGTCAAAATGTGTTAAACCATACAATCTTAAGGAGGTGTTCCTTAGTTTTTCACCACACTGTAGGTGTTTGGGCTTTCTGCTTGGCCAGCTGGTAAAGGTGATCACTCTGAATGTAAATTGATCTTTCTTGTCCAGACATAGCAGGTTCCAGTCTGGGTCCTGTCACTATCTGACAGTGACCAAGATTCCCAAGTGCAAGAATAACTGGGGAAGAGTTGGAGTTTGTCAGGTTCTCTCTGCTTCTAGCAAAAGAGCAACCTGGACCTGCAGGTTTTCCAGTAAAGAATGTGCCTTTTCTCTAAACAAGGGTTAATCTAATCAATGCTCAACTCAGCATGTCAAATGGTCAAAGGTGTAGTGGGTCAGCAGGTGGAAGGAGCCTGCCTATGCTTTCTCATTTTCCCCTTCTCAGTTCAGAACTTAATTATTTTAGCTAAGATCTAAAATAAAAATAATCGCTTTAGTTGATTTAATTGCCATTCCAGAGAGCACTTTTATTGTTTATGACTCAGTAAGGTTATTGTTTTCATACAACAGAGTACCGTGTGTAAAATAAACTTTTTATTTTTAAGCCTCAACACAGCATTCCAGATGTCTTCATCTGGATGATGAGTAACAATAAGCGTATTGCATATGCACGGATTCCCTCCAAAGACATCCTGTACTCTATTGTTGATGAAGAGAGTGGGAGAGACTGTGGAAAAGTCAAAACTGTCTTCTTAAAGGTATTGTTTTTGGGCTTCTGTTTACGTTTTGCCCACATGCATTTCATAAACTTTGTGTCTGGCATCTAGAAAGAGCAATTTTCTGTACCTGGCACAGAAAGAGCAATTATATTCAGCCTCTGCAGCACAGCTGATTGTATTGTTCCTTTCCTCCGTGCTGTACTGGTTAGAGTTTACTCACTTTATCTTTCTGCCATTAACAGCTTCCTGGGAAGAAAGGATTTGGTCCTGCTGGCTGGACAGTGCAAGCCAAAATGGAGATGTACCTTTGGCTGGGTCTCAACAAACAGCGGAAGGATTTCCTGAGTGGCCTTCCCAATGGATTTGAGGAGAACAAGACAGTGAAAGGCCCTGGACTGCAGTCCTTCCCTCCCATCAGCCTCACCTACACCAGTGAGTGTGTTGATGCTCTGCACTGTGTGTTGTATCGTGACCTGAAGTGAGGTGTTGTTACAGAGAATTGCCTGATAAAGAATAGATCCCCGCCGACCCCTCACACTTTTCTGACTAGTGTCACTCCCTCCCTTGCTGCCCACTTACCTATGATTGCAATGGAATTATGATTGCAAACTAATCTGAGCTCAGCTCATAAAGACAGCATGACTTAATAAATATACTATAGGAAAGAAAATCAAAAAAAGGTTGAAATGAAGAGGTAGAGGGAAAAGTTGAGTGGATGTGTGCAGGAGAGAGACAGTCCTGCTTGTCATTTCATCGCCGTGTTGACATTTTACCACAGTGAAACAGGTGTTCCAGCTGAGAGTTCACATGTACCAGGCGCGCAGCCTGTTTGCAGCAGACAGCAGTGGCCTGTCTGACCCCTTCGGAAGAGTCTTCTTCTCTACACACAGTCAGTGCACTGAGGTAAGGAGAAACCCTGTGTCCATGTCTTTGTTAACTCATAAAGAAACACCAAGCTGATGTTGAACAAGAAGGTCTGTGTCATATTTAATGGCTGACAGAATCAGATAAACCTCTGTTGGCACAGAGTGATTCTACTTGATGATTTTACTTTACTTTTCATGTAATGTGCTATTGAAATTTTAACCCAAAAACATTTTTGTAACACATGCAGAGAATGTGCCTACTATGGTTTAACCTGTTCACACCAGGAGTGAAAATGTGCCTAAATAAAGTACATGTAATGAAGAACGTCAAGTATACCCCAGGGAATGTTTTTCTGTCACCTTTTTGGATACAGAGTTCCCATTATCATGACTGTTCTTATTCCTCAAACAGGTCTTGAATGAGACTTTGTGTCCTACCTGGGATCAGCTGCTGGTGTTTGATAATGTAGAGCTGTATGGTGAGGCCAGCGAATTGAGGGATGATCCTCCCATCATTGTCATTGAGATCTATGACCAGGACACTGTGGTGCGTACTTCATATAATGGGTTTACTTTAGAATACATGTATTTTGATTAAAAGAACAATGGTTCATATGCAAAAATATAATAAAATAGGAGTCTGTTATTATTTTCATATAAGGTCTTCTCAATAATTAATAAACCATATACTCTCCACAAACATTGGTTTAACAGATTTAGAATGTTTTTTACTGTATTGGAGGAATGCTCAATTGATTTTCAAACAAATATTTGTCACAACAGTACCATACTTTCAATGAGATCTCTCGTCCAGACCTAAGCCCTGCTGTTGTCCTCGCCTGGATCAGCAGGCAGGGAGGAAGAGGGTTTGGTTTGCCTTATTGTGCCATGGTGACCCCTAGTGGTTCTACTGGTTAACTGGTTAAATTTTTTAAGTGGCAAAATTATCATCACTTTTAATTTTTCTTTTCGCTTTTCATTTTGTTGCTTTGAGGCTTCGTTAACATGACCAGTCAACCTTGGCTGAGCACATTTCCCTTTCTGGCATTGAACTGCAGTTAAAAAAACACGAGATTGAAATCTGAAATGACACCAACTGTGAATTAAAAAACAAAAGTGGTCCCATCATCACAGAACACTTCAATGTGTTTGTGTAGCCCCAAAGTTTAAAGTAAACTTAAGGTTAGCTTGGTGTCAGTTAGATTGGTTAAAACATTCCATTTTAAAAACTAATTACAAAGTTAGATTCAAAAACATTTTAAGGAACCCCAGTCCTCTCATGTACAGTCTTACCAAAAATGTAACCTAATTTTTCTCTCGTTCTGCTTCAGACTTTGAAGTTTATGTATTATACATGTGATCAAATATTTATTCTTATGGTTTTTTGTTTGGGGGCTCAGGGACTCTTCACAGCTGTGCTTGTATTTTAGCTTTACACTTTCATAATGATGTGATGGAAATAAATATTCAGTCACTTCTTACGTACCAATTTCAAAATGTTTTAAATTAGCTTTAAGTTCTCTGAATATGTCCTACTGTATATTAGAGTGTACAGGATTTTCTTCACTTCCTACCATTCATCCAGTTGACTTACACATCTATACAGCTGAGACTACAGGGCCCTTCTTTCTGAAATGGTAACTGAAGCAGTCATGTCAGCCTTCAGAACAATTGAAGTATTCTATTGGGCAGTTTTCTGTTGTGTTGCCATCTGCACCCAAACCCTGGAACACTGCGAAACATCGGGCTTTCACACGCCTGTCAGAAAGCTGGCACTTTTTAACACTGTGACTTAATAAGACATTATGAAGTTCAGAAGTCACTGTTCATTGTCTGAATTGTTAAACAAAAATAAGTTGATTCCTTCATGGTATAACTGTGGCATTTTTATAAACAATCTCAGCTACAGAGTTTCTTTAGAGAATGAATAAATGTCATATTCCCTTTTTAGAAGGCAGATGCTGTAGGTATCGCCATCCTATTCTATCTCATTTGGTAACTTGGATTGTGGAATATTTGCCCTCCAGAAATACCAAATGAATGTGAGCATTGAAGCCAGACGGTGTAAAATGTACCCAGGATTATGGTGCCAGATGATACACATGGTGTTTCTGATTTGCTAGCTATTAATTAAAGCATATATTGTATATCAGATGTTAATGCCATTGTTTTGTTGTTTGGCTGAGCTGAGTCAAACTTGAAAATGTTTTAATGTTTGTTCTATTGTCTGATTGCATATTTATTCTTATTTAAATTCACACTAATTCTGGATGTCCTTGGGCTAAGTAGAGTGTGAACTCTCTTTAAGCTGGAAGTAGTGCAGTCACGCTCAAAGGCGCTTTCAATAGAGTAGACCATGTGCTTCAAGGCATGCAACAGATGTGATATGTCACATAATTCCATTTTTCAGGATTTGGGTGCCTTTCCTAAAAGTGCTCAGAAGTCTTTCTATATAGATGTACATTCTAAAAGTGAACATGCAATACAGGGATCAGACAGTATCAGTAATGTGCCTATGAAGAAATATCAATTGAAGTCACACGTTGTGGAAGGCTTTTTGAAAGTCACAGACACAGGAAAAACTGGAAAGATCATATGAAATGAGAAGATAAACCCAGAGCCATAGATCAGAGTTTGTTTCCATCTTATGGCTAGACCTGAGTGACCTTATAGTCATAGTGGAAATTGACACATTGACACTTTAAAATAGCTCGCCTTTAAACATGCATTAATCATTTAGCCATTTGTTATAGTGTAATTTAATACTTTTTTCCCAAATGAAAACAATAACACTAAAATAAATAAATTTCTGTTGTTACATTTAAAATGTATATTTAATATATTTAACCGCATTTGTTCCCCTGAACATAGAACTATAAAATGCTCAACAACACAGAAAGAGATTAATAAGCCAGATGTTTACAAAGACATTTACAGTAGCCGTTGTCTTGTCAGACCACAGTCCCTGGCATCACTAAAATGAGCTGACAGACAGATACTATTAAACTAAGCACAGCAGCTGTATCACTGAGTGTCGGTATCCCAGGCTGATGAGCAGGACCGTCATGACTGTCGTGAGAAAGTTAGTGCTTGATATGAACACTCACTAGACAGCCAATACCTTGTTAAAGAGAAATACTTAATTGCTCTAATAATTTGCAAGACTCCCCAGTAAAAGCTCAATGATGATTCATTTTGACAATGTTAGGTTAGGTGAATGCTTCATTCAGAGAAGTGTAATCCTTTAAATGTCACTAGCAAATACCTAGAGGTGAAATATATTGACTTTGAAGCGAACTGAATGATTCTGGATACAGTCATACAGTCATGACAAAGTCATAAGATCATATCACTGTTGCATCCCTTCTGCTGCTGTTGTTTTGCTGATGTGTTAGATAGTAGAGCAGTGACTCTCCATAACCACTTGACTGCATGAGTGGCAGAAGCATGTGGTTTACACCAAGCAGCACTGGGTCAGTTTGTAAACAATTTCTTTCAAACCCTCCAATTGGTTTGTGTTCAATTCTGCAGCTTTAGGGCAAGAAGTAACCTAACAACCAGAAGCTGAATAGAAAGTAACAAGTAGTTAAATAGAGAATTTAAGTTAAAGAAATTAATACAACTTAAAAGATGAGTAAAATGAAAACACTGTAAAAGTATAAACTTGTTAACTCTATAGGAAATGGCTATTTCCTTTGGTAAGATTTCCCCAGTTTCTAACAAGTAATCAAGTACTGTGTATGCCCATTTGTGATGAACAGATGGTGTATGATATTGTGGTATCATGTAGGGGGCTATGATTATGTAATTATGTATGTAGTGCAAAAATGGAATAGTTATGCAATAATGGTGATTAAATAAGATTACATTTCAGCTCTTTGATGTTTTTGATTTCCTACTGATACATTAGTCATTTTGTGTCAGTCCTTTTTATATGATCTCTATTTTGTAGGACAAAACGTAACCTTTTAGCTTTATGAATATGTAGAAAGGAATATGTAATGACAAGGAACTCCTGACAACGACAATTAGATATAATTACAAATCTGCTTAAAGTAAAGATAATGGCTTATCCATGTGATGGGTAAGCTACTTCAATGTTTTTTTCTTGGCTGCTCATAAGTAGTATACTTTGAGTTGCTGCAATCAAGATTTTGATGGTAAATGTGAATTTAAGACTGTTTAAATGACAAGTGTGATTACTATTCACAGACACTAAGCTGTCAAAGTTTTTGTGATGGTAGAAAACTAATTGAAGCCTGGAATAACTTATTGCTTATAAAATACGCATTGAAAATCCTAATTGTATCTAAGAAGTCTTTTGCACAGAAATGTATAGTCTGTTAATGAGTTAACTTAGAAAAAGGAATGTACTTAGAACTTGGCTTGAACTTGTACAACCCCTAAAGTTGTAGAATAAAAAAAAAAGATTAAGGAGGTTTTAATGCTTTTCTATTTCTCAAAAATGTGAATCCATTGATGTGCTCAAGCTGCCCTAAAGCTCTTGCAGTAAAGTGGTTATCAACTTAATGTCTATGTGTTTTTAAAGTAGTCAGTATCTTTTTGTTTTTGACATTGTTTTTTAAAGCATGCCTTTTTATGTATATTATTTTTCACAATTGTTCAACAATAACCTTGTTTTACTACACAACTTTCTGTTTTTACTACAGAATAATGTTAACTACAAAGAATTCTGAAGGTTGGGAATAACACCAATTATTTTACCAATGTTATAAGGAATTTAAAACAAAATTCCTGCTAATCATTAAAAATATATATGTATCTTGCTTTCATAAGATAAAATTTAACTAATATCCGAATTTGTATCAGCAGTTTTCAGTTGTATTACTATTTTTTATAAATAGTATTTAAAAATGTTTTACAGCTATTTACCAACTAATCTTTGAAATAAAACAACAGTGTACAAATCATCACTTGCCAATTGCATATCCTACGGCTCATAATACTGTATGTGCCTAAAGGCCTGCTAAGTGAGCCATAATAGAAGGTATAAATTATTAAAAATACAGCACTATGGACACCATAGTAATGGACTAGTGCAGTTAATTGCATCGTCCTTTTTTTGTAATTAAATTCTGCATAAAAAATTCTGAATAAAACTAATGTCATCTATACAGTATCTACTTCATGCTCCCACATTTTTGTACATGTAGTGCAACGTTTTACTTTTTTCCTTTTTGTTTGCTTGGATGTTTCTGGTTGGGCTCCTGACCTTTTGAAAATGGTGGTTTGACTGTGAACTTGTTTTACTTTGCTATTTTAGGGCAAAGCTGAATTCATAGGTAGGACTTTTGCCAAGCCAATGACAAAAATGTCCGACGAGCACTACGGTCCTCCACGCTTCCCCCCTCAACTGGAGTACTACCAGATTTACCGTGGAAACTTCACTGCAGGGGACCTGCTCGCAGCCTTCGAGCTCCTGCAGGTGCGTAGGTCTGGACTGAGAACGCCGGAGCCGCGTTAGAGTGCCCTACTCTGAGGCCTGTACAGATACAGTTACAAAACTGTAAAAGCATGCGCATTGGGGATTTATTTTTTATATTAGCATACATCTTCTTAGGCCTTCTCTTTGCCTGATAGAGAAAACAAGTACTACCTGATTAACCAGGGATGAACAGTCTCTAACAGACAGACATTTGCTGTCTTTTTAAATCTTGGACATGCTTAAATATCTCCTAAAATACAATGCAAAACACAACACAGAGTGCTCACATGGATATGTCTCACAAATCCACCTTGTTATTCATTACAATGCACTATTATTACATATATATATAACCATATGGTATAACCATTACATTCTTTTCAGAATTAAAATTAAATTTATAAATGTATAAAGTAAATTCATGACAGAAGGAGAATGAAGCAGAGCACAAAGAATTAGCAAGAAACAAGACTTGTGTTTAATTTAAAATTCAGTTTAAGGCTACTTTGTCCTACATATAATGCATATTTTCCACACAGCTGGGGTGAGTGTTAGAACATGTGGCTAAAATCCATTTAGATGTGTTATTGTTTGGTTTAAATGCCATGGAATATAAGTATCAGTGAGTTGTAAAAAAATATGTCTTAGCTCAGTTAGGGAAATAATCCTTCATAAGAACAAGTTAGAGACAAGTACTTTAAAACTTGTTTGCTTAAATATGTGTCACCCATGTGAGAACTAAAGAAATGTTAGCAATTTCATCAAGAAAAGTAAGGGTATCATTAGGTTTTAGTTTCTATGCTCTTTCAGTCCAGATCTAACTCACATTAAGAATCCTAGTACAAATGAATTTTTACAATCAATAAACATAAACATATAGTCTTTATTATTTTGATATTTTTATGGTGATGCAGTACAGTATGTGGAGCTAATGGCTAAAAATTCAGAGCATGAGCATGAGTGACTTTCAGAATATCACGTATAACAGCTACATAGTTTGTTATTAATGATTGATTGCCTGAAAGAATGGTTACATGCATCCTGTAAGCTAAATACATGATCCTCTCTACATGCTGGTTTAACTGTTGTGTTCTCTGCTGCTGACAGAAACAGGACAGGCTCGTCTTTCTCTGCTCCTCGTCTCCAGTTTCTCTGAATCAGCCTGCTTTCCTCAGAGGTTCTCTTCTGCTGTGACTCTCTGTCTTGTTTTCCTGTGTCCCCATTTGCTCATCCTATCATCTTCCAAGGTTCCTTATGACGAAGAGGAGATTAGAAGAGCTTTACTGGCTGTCAATGATTTTGCTGTGCCTCAGATTAAGGTGCTTTACATCTCACCCATCTCTTGGTCACTTCTCACTTTGCTGCTCTCCTGTCATTCTAACTGTCATCTGGCTATGTAGGCTGATCCATCTGCAAAAACAGGAGCTTCTGTCTTTCCGAAGAGCTACTGTAAAAACTGTAAAAAGATTTGCATATTAAATGTCCTTTGCTTGGGATTTGTAAGACTTTACTAAGCAGCTGTTTAATTATCAGAAAGAAGCAGAAAAGTATATACTCATGTTCTATGAAATTCTTGTCATATGTGCTTTGCTTTTCATTGTGGTAATTGGCAGGTTAATGCTATATCCTACGTGATTTGTGGGTTAAGAGTTGGTTTTTGGACAGCACAGTGGAGCAGTGATTAACATTGCTGCCTTGCAGTGTTGGGGCCTTGGGTTCAATTCTACCTCTATTCTACTCAATCTACGTGGAGTTTGTATGTTCTCCACATGTTCAAGTAGGTTTCCTACAGGTGCTTCAGTGTCCTCCCACAGTCCAAAGAAGTACTGGTATGTTAATTGGCTTCTGGGAAAATTGGCCCTGGTGTGAGTGTGTGCGTGGTTGTGTCTGTGTGTGCCCTGCGGTGGACTGGCGTCCCATCCAGGGTGTATCCTGCCTTACTCCTGTTGCTTACCAGGATGGGCTTTGGCAACCCTGCTACCTGCAATACAGATTGGATAAAGAAGGTAGAAAAAAAGATGTGTGGATGTGGGTTTCCACAGTTAATGATAGTTATAAAATTATTTGAAAATATTAAATTTTCTGGATGGCACAGTGGTGTGGAAGTTAGCATTGCTGCCTCGCAACGCTTGGCCTGTGATACCCCGTGATGGACTGGCATCCCAGCCAGGGTGTATCCTGCCTTATGCCCTTGGACTGCTGAGTTATGCTCCTGTTCAGTACTCGACTGAGGGTGGATGGATGAATGTTAAAAAAGGCTGCCAGTTTTCTCAATCTATAACTTAGTTCACGGAAAGCTGATGTTGATTGTTATTTATTTACCAATAAAATATATATATATGATTCAGAAATCCCCTACATTAGCCCATGACAAGAAATGCAAAAGTAACTTGGATATGTCATATGAAACATTTCAGATTTTATTTGCATCTAATTTCACATAATGTATATAACTGTATATACTGTATATGCTTGTGCAGGTATACTGTATGTTATTTAATTCAAAAGATATGTAGAGGCATAGAGAATTGTACAGTTCTTATAAACACATTCTATTTTTTTTAATTGTTTTGTTTTACCATTACTCCCATTGTAATAAAGAGCTATTAGCTTCTTAAACAACAAACTTTTGATTAACTTTTGACTATTTTATTAAGTCCCAGTAAGTGAGTCACACACAAAGAGTTGTTTAGACCTTTTAGGTACTGCAAATTCCAAAATTCCAAAATTGTAGCTCTACAGTACTGACACATGTTCTATGAACTTCACCTCTAGGATATATGGCTGAAGTGGTAGCTAGATTCTGGATCATCAGTTGACAAAGTTGAATGACATACGAAAGGCCCATGTAAAGACACTAAAATAAGTAGACACTAAATAAGTAGGTTACAATATAGTCATTGCTAGTTGTATAAACAGTATTTAGAATTCTACATGATATGGCCCACATGGAAAAAAACACATATTGAAAGCATATTGTTTGGCAATTAATTTAGATACTGTGTGTCAGTTTTAAAATGCCCTTGACAAGAAATCTAATTGACAGCTTCAGTATTATTTATTGAGGTATCATGATTTAAGGTAATTGATACTAATAAAACCACATATAATAGCTTAAGACATAGCTATATTTTTATCAGCCAAGACAAAAAAGGTGAATGCTTTCCATAGTGAGTTTAAATCAAAGGGAATCTGTATCTTTCTAACTAGAAAGTGCATATCATGCTAACTGAAAGATTTTATATGTATCATCTGTTATTACTATTTTTAATTACACCAATAGTTTGAATGGAAAATTGATTTATGGGACTCTGTTTTCCCTTGAACTTGAATTCTGTACCTGTATTAACTGACACAGAGAGATTCTAAGGGGCATTGTGGATAATTCATTTTATAATTTTCCCAGATTGGCCCAGCTGGGAAAGCCGACCTGCCTCCCATCGAGGGCCCAACAGATTCCGATCGAGGTCCCATCATGCCTGTTCCCTTAGGCATCCGACCTGTCTTGAGCAAATACAGGATTGAGGTGAGAAGAGCATCATTCACTAGTGTCATGTGAGCCATGACTTCCTGTCACATGTTCTGGCTGTCATAAAGAGAACAGCTCTCTCACATTTCTGTTCACTTTCTGTAGCTTTCATTGCCAGCAGACTCCAAATTCAAATTTTACTTTAAGGCTTTCTGCTTCTTTGTGCTTTCCCAAACTGCATGTTCAAATGTGCATGCAAAGAATTGATTACAGTAGCCTTCTTCTCAGTGTTTTTTCCTCTCAGTGATTTTTCAAACCAGCTTATGTCTCTTGAGTGTGTCTAGTTGGATTTTCCTGATTCTGTATTCAGAGACAAATGAGGTACTTCATATGTTGGCCTTTTAACAAAAATAAAACAGCATCAGAAACACTTGTATATCTAGTTTGATAATATTTCACTTTACACAGCATTTAACAGAATTCTTATTATAAAAAACTGCTACATTCTTTAGTTAGCACACCTAAATTGCCATGCTCCTACTCTTTGTAACTTCTAATGTTTATGCAACAGATGCAGTGTTAATATTATTATAATAATTAGTATAATAGATGATTTGGTATAATCAGGCTGAGCAGACTAGATAAGTTTGTCTTCTACAGACCATGATCTTCTCTGTGGAAGTGGGTGGCAATGAACACTATGCTCTGCCAGTTATCAATACTCAGTTTTGGCAAGTGTGGTTTAAGATATTAATATTTCAGTTGGAGAGTTGGGGAAATTTAAGAAACCTTTCAGAGAATGAGATCATATAGCTTAGTACTCAGTTCAACCTCTCAGACCTCTTGCTGCCTTACAAAAAACTTCTCTCTGCCACCAGGTGTTGTTCTGGGGCCTGAGAGACCTGAAGAGGGTGAACTTGGCCCAGGTGGACAGACCCCGAGTTGACATTGAGTGTGCAGGGAAAGGAGTCCAGTCAGCACTCATTCAAAACTACAAGAAAAACCCCAATTTCAGCACTCTTGTCAAGTGGTTTGAAGTTGTGAGTATCTTTAAAGTTCCTGAGATCAAGTATAATTTTTATTTTAATTAATGAAATTCATTAGTATTTGTATTCAGAATGTTTTAGAGATTTAACTATAAATAGACTTTCCAGCTTTACTTTTATAAAAAAAATCTGCTTCCACTGAATTCTAGACAAGATTCTTTGCTGTCATTTCTATACTGCACAGAAAACAATAGCTATTATTGACGTCAAGCCTACTGTTTTCCTTTCAACGGACTAAAGGCAATTTAGTAAGTCTTTTGCTATCTTTGTCACACAACAAAGAAAGCCTGATACCTCATTTTCAAGTAAAATGTCAAAAACATTAGATGCTAATGACTTCTAACTCCCTGTAATAGCTTCTGAGTATTGAAATTCCAGACAGAAACTGTATAATTGCTTTGCATTTGTTAATTCAGACATCTTGTTTTCCTCATCAATAATTATCTGCCCAAAGGATCTACCAGAAAACGAGCTGCTCCATCCCCCCCTGAACATCCGAGTTGTGGATTGCAGAGCCTTTGGACGCTACACCCTGGTGGGATCTCATGCAGTCACTTCTCTCCGCAAATTCATTTACAGGGCCCCAGACAAGAATGCCAACAACTGGGCCACAGCAGGTACATGGCTGGAACGGCACTGCCTGGGGCCATGTCCCCACACACAGCAGTGTCTTGAGCCAGGACTTACAGTAGTGCTTCTCGGGACAGCCACACCTGCTGGTTTTCCTTCTTCATGAGATCTCAGTTACTGTACTCTACATACCTGAAATCTCCTTTTACATAATAATAGGAATGTAATTTTTTTCAGCTCCGAAGCATGATTGACATTGCCCTTTAATAAGTTTCACACATACCTTTCAATCTTCATTTTTTCAGTAGGACAAAAAAAAGAAAAGTTCCAAATAAAGCTTCAGTTAATCTAATAACCCGACTGGAATGACAACCAGCAGGTATGTGTAGTAGGTCTTCACATCCAGGGCTGGAAACACCTGCTTTAGGATATTGCCACTTTGGCTTTTCTGAACTACAGTAAGAAAATGATTAATTAATTAATTTTGAACTGACCAGAATTGCATATTTAATCCATATTCACTCACAACTAAGGTTCCATACTTTTGGTGTTGATTTTTTAACCAACAGTGCTGGATAATTAATTAGCAGGTATATGTTTTTTTCACTGAGCCAATTTTGGGAAAAGTATTCATTGCCCTCTGAGCCTAGAATGTTTTTATATTACTTATAATTACTTTACAATTGCACTTTTGACTGTTGTATACTATAAAAATCTCAACTTTGTTGAAACCAATGGCTGTTGGAAGGTCTCACTGAAATACTGGTGAAAATAAACACATAACTATATCTGAATAACACATTAATACATTACACGTAGGACTGAATTGAGAAACTCTGGAACCAAGATTAAACAGGCTGTAGGATAATGTCACCATCGCCTGTTTTTTTACTTAAGGAACTGATCAAGTAAAACAGAATTTTGGGTGTTTAGGTTTTACTGAGAAGGGGGTAAGTTGAAACGAACATTTTGTGATAAAAAATAAACATTTAAAGCATGGAACCCTACTTGCAATTAAGCTGTGTTTATTTTTCACAATAGACACAGTGATTCACGGGAAGAATGACACTGTTTTGCCAGATAAACAAAAACTGTATATTAGACTTTTCCACTGTTCCATCATACTGTATACTATCAAGCTGTTTTTCTTTTTTGCTGTGTACATTTGCTTTCAGATAGTATAAAGAATTAAGATAACACTTCTTTTTCCTCTGACATCTTACTCCTACTTACTCCATTCTCTCCATTCTTTTCCTCCTCCTGGCCTACTCTCCTGTTCTCATGTTCTGCCTGTCCCTGGCCACGTACTTCTGTCCTCCAGCTAAACTGATGAATGGCTACATGGCTCTGACAAATGGGAGCCCCTACTCTCGCCCCACAGGTGAAATAATAGTCAACATGGAGCCAGAGCCCCCCGTCAAGAAGATGGAAACTGTGGTCAAGCTGGATGCTGTAAGTGACCTGGGCTTCTCTTTGTGATCATGATGGGTGACAGAAGAAACTCTTACATTGTATTTCAACTTACACAGCTGCCTTTATCGCAATTTTGGCAGACTCTAATCTTTATACACTTAGCTTATTTTGTAAACATGAAGTGTTTGAAGTTGAAGTGAGCTTGACTAGCTTTGATCTGGCCAAGTAAAAGCTGCACAGGGACTGGCTCAGCAATGTCTTGCTGTCCTTAACCCAGCAGCTAGTTAAAATTCTGTAGATTTGGTACGCATGATGAGAGAACCAGCTGAGGAGTCTACATGTCACTGATAGTCCCTTCTTCACTCATCCCTGCTGTCCATTACACCACAGGGGTAAGGATGGAATTGGACATTCCAACTGAGACCTTATGCTTTAGAACAAAATGTTCTAATTGTGTTGTCTTCATTCATTGATGAATGTATTTAGTAATATAACGTCTGTTTCTCAAAACAGCTCATTTTAATGTCTCCACAACAGATTCTATTCTACTACCTTAAGACTGGAAAATGAAAGTAATTCATAAAACTTCTTAGTGATTCATAAAACCTCTTAGTTATTCCTAAGGATTGAGGTTTCAGTCATCAATAGCAAATGTATATTATGATCCAGAGGCATTTCCTTTTTGTCTGTTTTGTGTAAATCACATTCAAAAAAGACAAGTATGAACTGCCATTAAATGTTTGTTTGTACATATAGTATAAGTACTTTTGAGTGGTTGTTGTCTTGTTTGCATTTGTTTATTTTTATTTGGCAGCAGTGATTGCACCTTTAATTTTGTTTTGTCTTTGTGTAACCCCCCCCTCAGACTTCTGATGCTGTTGTTAAAGTTGATGTGGTAAGTCTCACAGTTAAGATAATTAGTGTAAGGCACCCAATGGCTTTGCGTTTGGAGGCACATTACTAACTTTACACTTTTTTAAAGTCTGTGTTCACATACAGCTTTTGAAATCTTTCCTACTTAACTCATTATTAATCATAGTATGAGGTCATCAAATACCCAAAGACTTTTGCATGAATAGTAAATTGTGATAATGCCAAGCTGAGAGTTTTGTTTGCCACTAGGTAAGTTCATGTATTGAGGACAGCAGAAAACGTTGTAATGCTTCAACATTTTGTGGTTTTCATCCTAGAGTGAAGAAGAGAAGGAGAAGAAGAAAAAGAAAAAGAAAGGAGAAGAAATTGAGGAGGAAGAACCCGATGAAAGCATGCTGGACTGGTGGTCAAAATATTTTGCCTCCATTGAAACCCTGAAAGAAGTGAGTTTTATGGTTCATTGAACACCAATATTCCTTATTCACACAAATTGAAAGTCTGTGCTAGTAGTCTACAACATGGTGCTGTTGGGCACTGCTGGACAATATTGGTAATAGTTCTGGATTCTAATTCATGAAAGCAGGAACCTATTACATATTCGTATGTTTTCCAGCAACTAAGGGCACAGGAGGCAGCAGCTGCAGAAGCTGAGGAAAAGGAAGACATGGAGATAGCAGCAGAAAGCACAGGTAAAATGAAAGAACTGTTACACAACCCAGGAAAAGTGACAGAGTGTCATTGTGTTTGTGTCAATATTCAGTTAGTTTAAATTTCTCCTCTTAAAATGAAGTGTAATTTCTGTCTTAGTACTACTCAATAAGATTTTCCATTATTTCTGCTTGGCTTGGTGCTCACCATCTTGATTAAATGTTCAATGTGGGACCAATATTGTGAAAGAAAAGAGCACTTGGATATGATATAAAAGAGGAATTTACATGAATTGCATTTATACTTAAACAGCATTTCCTGAAGCATTCAGAGAGACGTTTTATTTATGAGTCCGGAGCCTTAACCAATTCTCCCTAAAAATGAAAGAATTATTCCCTTATCTGTTGTTATCTGTATGAGTTTGTAAACTGTAAACCGCAAACTGCACAAATATAACTAATTTTCTAGAAATACATTAAAATGCATTATACCATTCTTTATGCATTTTTTGCTTTGTGTCTCTTAATCCTCTGTGCCACTAGTCTGAATCTTGCCTTTTATCTGGGTCTCTGTTGCCTTGCTGAGCCTCAAATCCCACCGTGTGCTACCAAGTGCCTGGGATATTGATACATTTAAACCCTCTTGAAGTGCAAAATTTCTTCATTATTATACATTAGATTGTTAGAACTATTTGAGTTCATTCAGAAATTAGATCTGGCATTTTGTGGTCTTCTCAACTAAACTAGTTAAATCTACTAAATTCAGTCTATGGAAGTTCATAACACATTCATCACTAAAAAGAGTTGGAGGAACTGCCAGGCCCAGAAGGATGACTTGTGATCAGAAATAAGAACACGAGATGAGGCCATTCAGACCATGTAGCCTGTTAAGATTTTCAGTTTATGACTGTACCAAGAGTGTCATTTCTTGAAAGGAGGCAGAATCCCACAACCATTTCTGTAAAGAAGAGCCTCCTATTCTCAGACTTAAATCAATTTTAGAGTCGTGTAATTTCTGCAATAAACAAGTATATAATGTACATGTAGTTAAGGTGGGTAGCTGTGTCAGCTTGCGTAGGCTGCAAAGGAACAAGTAATAGGTTTATTCCATGCTGAAAAGAGAAGAAAGAAAACACAACGTTTCGGAGAAGGCCGAAGAAGGCTTCTTCTCTTTTCAGCATGGAATAAACCTATTACTTGTTCCTATAATGTACGTGTATGTTTGCTTCCTTATTCTATCATATCTTTTATAAATGTCAGAGAAGTTCAGTTTTTTATTAACTAAGCTAAGCTGAAAATGTCCCAGTGGGTGATATCACAGGGCATGTTGTGTTGCTTATCTGAACTGGGGTTACATAAAAGCACAAAATCAGAATCTTGTGAAATGCGCTGGAGTTGACTGGCTTCATCCAACAAACCTCACACCAGCTGAGCAATGAGACCCCATGAAAATAAAATCCATTGTGTGGAGCACAGTCCTTTCCACGAGTGAATAGTCTGATAACATCTGCTAATTACATACATGTATAGCTATATAGCTACTGAGAAATAAAAGGCTCAGTGTTGATTCAGAAGAGGAGAAATCAGTCTTTAGTACGAATTGCTCATCCAATAACTATTTATACACCAGCCAAAAAAGCCATTAATTCAACGTGTCTAAAAGATTTGAACTGAAAGTCACGTAAAGATTGCTCCTGCTCTGAGATCAACATTTAGTTATAGTAGCAGTGGCTATATGTGTTATCTGAAGGTTATCTGAATAATGCAAGCAAAAACAAACACCACTTTACTGTATGAAATGAACAGTTTAAGGGGTCTGTTTATGATGTTTGAAACAAAATTGCAAAATTATTATTGCTGATATGATTTACAGTAATGATTTACAGTCTGCATGTCAGCTGCATCCACTTCAAGCTAGTACAGAGTGTGTTCATGTGCTGCCATTGGTACCCCTTCCTTTCCCATCTTCACATATATACAGTATTTCTCTTTTGCTGTGAATGTTCATTGTGCTTACATTGTCTGCCACCTCCACCAGCATGGCTACAGTACCTGCTGCCATGAAAGTTGGCTGAAAATAGGCTCATATTGGCTTTACCTACCTAAGACAGAGAGACTGTTATTGTATTTCCATATGATGCAGAGTAGTTATTAAGAATATTTAGAACTTTGAAACCTGTTTTGAAATATATTAAAGTGGAAAAATCCAATTTAGTGATATGTATGGATAGTCATTATTACAGTAAATTTGCATAAATATGCAAAGACAAGAATTATAGTTTTTAGGATGAAAAAATAAGGAAAATTAGCCCATCTAAATCATTTGGGTTTTGTTATAGTAAGTAAAAGGTCAAAAAAAGATATTTTTGGAAGAATCATGAAACTTTCAATTTACTTTAAAAAGTAGTTGGCTTGTCTCTCATATGCTAAACCTTTCATTTTACTAATTAAACTAATTATGATCAGTTCTTTTCAAATGCAAAGAAAATACATTCTATAAGAAAATGTCTAAGTGAAAGCTGAATAAAGAGGTTTTAGAGATGGCTGTGAAGCTGTAATCCTCACAGCACAGGATGCCGATAACTCTGGTATGCTGGCCAGAGTACAGAATGTCAACTTTCATGTGGAATTCATGTGTCGAGTACTCTGTGTCCACCCCTTGCCCTGTGTTCAGAGATCAAACCTGATGACTCTCCTGTGAAAGGCTCAAAGGTCAAAGAGAAGGGAAAGGACAAGGTCAAAGCTTCCAAGGAAGACAAGAAGAAGAAGAACCATCCTGGTGAGGCGATGGAGAAGAAGAGCAACAAGCAGAAAATCGATGAGTTATACGTGAGTAACTCCTTCTGCACAGGAGTGTCACAGCACTCCTCTGTTGCTTTACTGGTGCTATTTTACTGAATTTCCTAGTACTACTTTACTACTTTACTCTCTCTCAGAGCCCCGGTAGAAAGTGTGGCCTGCTGCCAATCGTATATTTTCCAGGGGTGTCGAAGTCACAAGTTGACGGTGACATAGGTCCTGCAGCCACACAGGAATGCTCTTTCCCTGCACCTCGGGGGAACTAGGGCCAGCTGCCCCGCCACTGCTGCCCCACTGGTGAATCCACACACAACAGCTCAGTCGGGGGCTGTGTGGGAGGATTCTCCACCGACATGCACTGTTAAGGAGAGGTGGTCTTCCTTCTCCCTTGGCAGTTTGCAAGAGAGACAGACACACAGCCGCTGCCAGCATAGTCAGACAGGTCTTTCAGCAGCACTGCTCAACAAACCAGCCACTCTCTACAGCTGTGGCTGCATAATGGGGCACCAGCTAATGGCCTGTCACAATCCTGTTCAATACATTTATTAAGACTTTAAACAGAACGATGAACCGTTCACAAATTTCCAAAAGCCGGAGCCTAGTGTACTCCACTGTCATGCCAAACCACACACAAACAAACTAGGAAAAGGGGAAACCAAGGAGCATTAAATAACATTAGTAAAGGGAAAACCATGAACAATAAAAGTCTTTTTTAATAAGGCCAGCAGCCATATTACTCTGCAACTCACAAATAGCAACCCACTAAAACTAAGCAGGGTGAGCCCAGTCAGGATGGGAGACCTCTTGGGAGAGCTAAGGTTGCTGCTGGAAGAGGCGTAAGTGGGGCCAGAAGGGGGCGCTCACCCTGTGGTCTATGTGGGTCCTAATGCCCCAATATAGTGATGGGGACACTATACTGTAAAAAGATTCTGTCTTTCGAATGAGACATAAAACCCAGATCCTGACTGTCTGTGGTCATTACAAATTCCAGGGCATTTTTTTAAAACTGTAGGGGTGTTACCCCAGTGTCCTGGCCAAAGTTCCCATTGGCCTTTACCAATCATGGCCTCCTAATAATCCCCCTCTATGAATTGGCTACATTACTCTGCTCTCCTCCCCACTGATAGCTGATGAGTGGTTAGTGTACTGGTGCACTATGAATGCTGTCGCATTATACAGGTGGGTGCTGCACGTTAGTGGTGGTGGAGGGGAGTCCCTATTACCTGTAAAATGCTTTGAGTGGAATGTCCAGAAAAGCACTATATAAGTGTAAGGAATTATTAATTATTATTATTTTTACAGTCTTTGGACTTTGGTCTCAGGTATATGGGTGAAATATATTAGAACAAGATGTCAACTTGCAGTAAAGTGTGAGAAACCAAAATTAAAAGGTAGATGTTTGTAGTTACAGAAATCTAAATGTGTTGAGCCCTCTTCAATTTACAAAATCTCATTGACAGTCTGACAAATTATCTTCAATAAAATTAAGAATATTGTATAACAAGTCAAGTTCTCTTGTGTTTAACAAATGTGTTCTGCATTTTCTACGCTGAATTGTTTGCATGTTTTTAAACATAGTAAACAATTCAATGTAAATAAATAAAACTTTCGTGTCATTCCAGGTATACAACAAGGAACTGGAAAATGAGTTTGACAACTTTGAGGACTGGCTACACACCTTCAACCTATTCAGAGGGAAAATTGGAGACGATGATGATAGCATGTCTGATGAGGACAGGATTGTTGGGAGATACAAAGTAAGGGCTGAGAATGATATTTGGGTTTCATTCCATATTGTAAGAATGGAAAATTACACAAATTAATCATGTTCAAAAGCATCTGTCAAAGGAGACAGCCTGTTGACAAAAAGTAAATAGAGAATAATAATCCATTTCTGCATTGTAAATGTCTCAGCTACTGCCAAAATAAACCATCTAAAGTAAGGTATGTTTTAGCACTCAAATTGTGGGTGCTCATCTGAGGACTTTATTCTTTTTCACATTATAACCATCTGGACTTTATGAGAATTACCTGAATGTGAAACCGAGGTCTAGAAGATAGCTTTTGTTTTCCTCTTACAAAAGATTTTAGAAGAAGGAAATAATATCAAGTAGTATGAGAAAAAATATTTGGGACTCATTACTTAAGTTAATATATAGAAAGGACATGCCTTTGTAAACCTTGAAGAAGACTTGCATCCAGGACCACACAATATAGGGTGTGATTTGTTAGACTGGGTGTGATTTGTTAGACTACTTGGTTTTAAAAAGAACATTTTAAGTGCAGTTCCTTCATCTGAGAACTTTGTGTTTGTACATGTGTGTTTATATTTAATAACAGGCTTTTCCACATTAGTTTAAAATAAATGTTATTACAACAGGGCATAATAAATGGAAAGCAGAATAGTTAAAAGCTATTGGGAAGCATAATCCAAATGATTCAACTGAATTATATAAAAATAACAAGCACATAAAAATTAAATATATTTGAAAAAAGCTAGAAACACCAAAACAATACAAAATAACAGTATGACAGCAGTTTTTGGAAAAAGCATTCACTTAGACCACCAAGATACAATTGTTTCTCTGAAAGCTTAAGGATCAAAATGAGACAAAAGCTTGAAGATTTTACATCCCATAAGGATCACAATGTTTCTGATAAATTAGGTTTGTTTTACTTTTGTGTTACTAACTTCATTAGTTTACTTTTTGGTTTATTTCATTTTTGTTTGGCTGTATTCTCCATATTTCTCAGCCAATTTTACCCACTTTTGACCCTGCAATGTCTTTTGCCCTGTGTCTTGTGGTGCAGGGCTCTCTGTGTGTCTACAAAGTGCCCCTCCCTGAGGACGTTACCAAAGAAGCTGGCTTTGATCCGAATATGGGCATGTTCCAGAGTATCCCACACAACGACCCTATTAATGTCCTCGTTCGTGTGTATGTAGTCAGGGTAGGTTTTGATTCCAAATCATTTAAGTGATTGTTCAGTATCATCAGCTCTTAAACACACTTGATTGTCATATCCCAAATGGCACAAACATTTTGAATATTTAGATGTTCTTATAGTGGATAGGTACATAAAATACAGTTCTAGTAATTAGTAATTACATTCATATCTTCATATCTACAGTAAGTGATGCATTTTTCTAAGTCAATTCATAACGAGAGCAAGAGATCAGAAAATGCAGCTTCATAGGTTGATGTAATGGTATTTTTTTTGCGGATACAAAAGCACAGTATATTACTGAGCCAGAGACTGGATCTTAAACATAGGTAACAATAAGTACCAACATATCTGTACTTAAGAAATAATAAAGCTATGTCTTATTGTGGTATATGGCAGAGGTAACCTATGATGGTCAATGAGTATGTGCCTTAATATTTTACAGCTGATCCATTCTTCTTTTTTCAGGCCACAGACCTGCACCCTGCTGATATCAATGGCAAAGCAGATCCTTACGTTGTCATTAAACTGGGGAAAACAGAAATCAAAGACAAAGAGAACTACATTTCAAAACAACTGAACCCTGTCTTTGGAAAGTAAGTCAAGTACAGTATAACCATCCCAGAGCTCAGCTTCCTTCAACATAAGCATGGCAAATTCTTTTTTATAGTTTTTCTCTGTTCATAGAAAACAAAGGTCAACTGCTCATCTGTACAGATCTTTTTTTATAGTCATTTTTCAGAGCCATCTTCTTCACATTTTTAGTCTCCTTCATATGAAAATCAAACATTTTATAATAAGTATTCTATCACAATTGCATTTATCTGAGGTTTTATTGAACACTCAATATAAAAAGTTTTGATTTAGTGTTCCCAGGGTTTTTCAGTAGGTTTACAGTTAGGCTGGTGGTGGCATGGAATTTGTCAGTATATCTAAATCTGATTCATAGGACCATTGATTCAGCCCAAAGTTCCCTATGAATTTTATGCACTCCAAAAACTAAGAAGTAGGCTTTACAGTGGACTTCAAATTTCCCAACGTAGACTGAGAAAGACCTGCAGGAATATCAGAAGCAGAAACTGAAATGGTTAATGACTGAAGATAATAATAATAATTGCTTACACTTATATAGCGCTTTTCTGGACACTCCACTCGAAGCGCTTTACAGGTAATGGGGAATCCCCCCCACCACCACCAATGTGCAGCATCCACCTGGATGATGCGATGGCAGCCATAGTGCGCCAGAACGCTCACCACACATCAGCTATCAGTGGGGAGGAGAGCAGAGTAATGTAGCCAATTCATAGAGGGGGATTATTAGGAGGCCATGATTGGTAAAGGCCAATGGGAAATTTGGCCAGGACTCTGGGGTTACACCCCTGCTCTTTTCGAGAAACGCCTTGAGATTTTTAATGACCACAGAGAGTCAGGACCTCGGTTTTACGTCTCATCTGAAGGACGGCGCCTGTTTACAGTATAGTGTCCCCGTCACTATACTGGGGCATTAGGACCCACATGGACTGCAGGGTGAGCGCCCCCTGCTGGCCCCACTAACACCTCTTCCAGCAGGAACCAAGATGTTCAAGCGGGAAGCTGCTTCACTGTGCATTGGCTGCAAAAGCACAAGTTAAGGTTCATTCCACACTGAAAAGCAGAAAAAGTGCTGTTTCAGCTGTTGAGCCTTCTTCAGGTGTCACCTGTGTTTCTTCCTTCTACATTTCAGTGTGGTTTATGAGGACCCCAAAAAGGAAATGCTTGTATAGATCTATTGTATATATAATCAAGACAGGGTGAATAAAAATCTAAATGGTATGGGCATAAATGATACAAAGCTTGTATATGTGTTTTCAGCTTTACTTCTCTCACATACTTTCACTCATTTTCTCTCAGGTCATTTGATATTGAAGCTACATTCCCAATGGAATCCATGCTGACCGTCGCTGTTTTTGACTGGGATTTAGTGGGATCTGATGATCTCATAGGGGAAACCAAGATTGACCTGGAGAACCGATACTACAGCAAGCACAGGGCCACTTGTGGCATCGCTCAGAGCTACTCCCTGTAAGTAATGCCTCCTCCCATGAGACTTATACTCATCTCAGTACCCAGAGAAGATGTCAGGCTGAGAACTGCAAACTTGACAGAGCAAGGAGAAGTATTTGTAAAAATAAAATTAGAGAAAGCACAACAACATAGTGTAAATTGTTACAATTAATAGTTATTTAATTAACCAGGAAAGTGACAAGAAAGCATGTACAAGTAAGCAAATTATAGTGATAAAGGATTAGATATAGGAAAATACAAAACTCTTTAAGCTGTTCAAAATAAATCACAAGGATCATATTTATAATTATTTCTAAAATATTACTGGATAGCTTTATTTCTTTAATAGCACATGTAGTAAGCATAGTAGTAATGGTGACATTACAGATATAACAGTCTGTTCAAAATCAAAACCCTGAGACCAGAGTTTGTTTTATCCAGTGCTTGTACCAGTGGGAGGCAGTCTTATCAGCTGTGTTCCAGTGTGTTAGATAAGGTGTCTTGTTGTGTCATTAGCCATGGCTACAACGTGTGGAGAGACCCCATGAAACCTACTCAGATTCTGACCAAGCTGTGCAAGGAGGGGAAGGTGGACGGCCCGCACTTTGGGCCCGGAGGAAGAGTCAAAGTGGCAAACCGGGTTTTCATGGGACCAACTGAAATAGAGGATGAAAACGGTAAGAAGTTGTTTGGGTCACTCATTTGACATGTGTCACCAATACACTGAGCAACTGAAATAGCATCCTCACTACACGCCAGCCTGACTCTTTCAATGAAGGGGCACAATATTAGAAGAAAATTATCTAGTTTTAATAAATTAAGGAAGCCCAATGTACTATATTGTTGGACCACTGTCCACATTTTAACCATTACACATTCCATTTTATTTCCCATAGTGCAAATGAAAGTGAGTGCTTGTATGTTATTTGTGTTTCATACCACCCCTAAATTGTTAGAATGAGAAGCAGATGACCACAGGTCGTCAATGTCGTTTAGGATCATTGCATAGTGCTGGAACCATAGTCATCCGCGGTCACACAAGCATGCAAACAAAGATAGTAATGTAAATCATGAGACATGAGATGTGAACTTCATTATTCAAGCTGGAGACAGAATAGGTGAGGGAAAAAGTAAAATTAATATGATTTCACTTAATCATGTTTTTGTGAATCAAATCTCTCTATTCTGAGACCCTATTTTGGGCTGTATTTTGAAAACAAATTGTACTGGAGAAAAATGCTTGTAAATTGGTTCTTTCAATGCTTTAAACAGGTAATAAACATAGTTCATGAAAAAAATAATTATTTAGATGGATGTTTTTACTTTAACAACCCAGATTGTTTCTAATAAAGGAGATGCAACTGCACTGATAACATATTCAGCGGTTTGCACAGTTTATGAATTGTCATTTGTATTTGTAAGATCATAGCATTACTGTGGGGAGGTGGGTAGCGTCAAATTATTGGCAGTACTGAGATGGGGCAGAGGTGTTATTCACATGATTGCAGGACTGAAGAAGCAGACAGATGAGCACTTGGCCTTGACTGTGCTGCACCACTGGGAGGAGATCCCCCGCCTTGGCTGCAAACTCATCCCAGAGCACGTGGAGACCAGACCCCTCCTCAACCCTGACAAGCCCGGCATTGAGCAGGTACAAACACGTCCTGCTCACTGCAGCGGTTTGCTGTTCACCGTGGTGGCTATTAGAAAGTTTTAACAAGTAATAAATAGCCTGCTATTAGACACAAGCTGTTAGTGTCTGCCAAATTTATCAGACCACCACAACGGATATATAATCAGGCTACTGAAGAGCATAATACTGAGCAGACGGATTTTGAAGAATTACCGGGGTGAATCAATTGATAAGGATGGGGTTATTTTTATCTTTACATTAATTTATATAGAGTGAAGACTCAATATCATTGCTATCAGCAATGGAGATAAATCATCCTGAAAGTCATTCAAATGGTAGTGGGAAGTTACTTAGCCATGTTGTTGAAGCCGATACCTTGGCTTCTTTCATGCAATACAGGGATATGATCCTCACATCTACTCTATAAGCTACCTAACAAAGGGCTAAGAACTTCCACTCATCGTAAACTTTGTTATGTTTTCATGTGTTTTGGACCTGTAGGGGCGAATTGAGATGTGGGTTGATATGTTTCCCATGGATATGCCAGCACCTGGACCTGCCATTGATATCGCTCCAAGAAAGCCAAAGAAGTAGGTTCTGTAGAGAATTAGCTGACTAACAGCTGTCCCCATAGTGACTGAATGAAGATGAAGCACTTGAGCCCAGGTATATTCAGACAGGAAACTTCAATGGACCTTAGAGGAAGGACACCATTGAATGATTTTCCTTGAATTCAAGTCAACACAGTATGTTCTTGTGACTGAATTTACATTCAAAGGTGGGGACAGGGCTGCAGTCTGAGCATTCAACCTGCCAGAGGTTCAACCTTCCAGCCTTCTGCCAGCCTTAGAGAATGGTGAAAGGTTCAGGGAACAGCCTGCCCAGGCACAGACCCCCCTGTTGATGGAAGAGGAAGAGATGCAGATCTCTGACAGTTGCATATTTACACAGCACCTTTAGCAGCTTTCAATCTCTCTTTGTTAATCAATTCCATATAGCCAGATTCATGTACTGTACAGCTGTTTACAGTTTCCCTTTTCATTAAGATATTTTAGCAAAAGAAATAGATGGTGTTCCTATAGAAAAATGCAAAAAAGCCAGTGTCACCTGATAGTTCCTTCCTTTTGTTCTCTTATGATCACTAATTGAGATCTGTCCTTTATGTCTAACAGGCCATATATATTAACTCATCTCTGGAAGTGTTTTATATTGTGTTTTTACTTATGGAACAGCCCCATAAGATTAGTTTAAATTAAAGTACTTGAATATGGTGTGATCAATACAGTAAATTATTGTTGATTAACAAATACCAGAGAATGCAAACTTTTTCATAAATTTAACACCTGCCTGATATCTAAATTTAAAGCTGCCAAATTATTATCTCTGGCAGCAGTGATTGTGGGCTTTATAACTGTTTATTTTTTTTAGCAGTAGGATTGTGGGGAAAATTCAAAATCCTGTTTAACCTTGTCAGTGTCTTAATCACAAATTATTTCTGGGGGGGGATGAGTCTTAAAATAAGAATTCATAACCACATTTTAAAAGCATTTTGTTTTTCTTGCACTGATTGCTTAAGCATAAAGATTTATAACAGTCATGGAGCTTTTTTGTAATCAGTGGCACGAAATATGCTTTTCTCCAAATAAATCCCTGTGAATTTCCCTCATTCTGTCAGAGAGTTGTCCAGCTCTGACCTGATGTCCCTTCCTCCTTACCAGATATGAGCTCAGGGTGATAATTTGGAATACAGACGAAGTAATTCTGGAGGACGATGATTACTTCACTGGAGAAAAGTCTAGTGACATTTTTGTACGGGGGTAGGTACAGGCGCCTGTGCGCCTCACTGTGTGTATTGTGCGCGTTTGGTGTTATTAACTCTTTCTTTTCCTTTTGTGTTGTTTTTTTTGTCCTTTTCCCTGTGTCATTGTTGTACTGCTGTCTAGTTATGAGCTGCGTGTTATTATTTGGAACACTGATGAAGTAGTGCTTCAAGATGATGCTTTCATGACAGGAGAGAAGATGTCTGACATCTATGTCAGAGGGTAAAGAGAACTCCATTGCACGGCTCGACCCACGTACCTGCATTCAGCCTCCCTCCCTGGTCATGAGCACGCATCCAACCGTGACATTTTATCATGTTTTCACCTCCCTCAGAGACGCTTCAGACCATACCAATATTAAGCAAAAAAAAATCAAATGTTTCTGCTTTTAATTTCTATCCAGGTCACTTATAGGAATTTATTAATCTGTGTCAAAGTATAAAATGTTAGTGAATATTGGAATAACTAATTTTCAGAGATTATAATAGATTCCTGACGATTCTCTTTTTGTCCCCTCCAACATTAGATCCAGTTGAGTTGGTCATATTCCACTTTTAATTATTCCCTTGTGCTTGATTGAAATGCAGGTTTTTATATAAAGTTTTGGAGCTGAGCATTACTTTTCTGTATTGTCCCCTACACCAATTTTCAAAATGTATGACACATACTGTAACAACAGTTCCTCTTAATGCATTTGTGTAATCTGTGTGCTATGAATCATCATTCTCTTGATTCTTCAATTTTGTCCTAAAACTATCAGAAAAACCACGCACCAGGTTAACCTAATCATATTCGCAATGTCACGATGTTCATTAAGTTTTTGTTGCCCCTCCTGTGTAATTGCATTGTCAAGTAGAGATTATTAATATCATGTACACAGTACGTGAAACAACAGTTCTTCAGCTTTTACAAAGAGCACCTTTCAGGGTTATGGTGCCTTTCTTAGTGCAAATAGTGTGCTGTGAATTATGGGAATGTAAATATTAATTATCTTTATTCCAAAAGGTGGGAAAATATTAATTTTGTATATAAAGTATATTTTTTACACACAGAATTAAAAGTTTCTTGCAGTGATTTGCTTTCCATTTAAGGATTATATTAATAAATCTTAAATTATTCTAAATTATTTTGCTTCTCATGTAATAGAATCAAAATTAATATCAAATCTGAATTTGAATGAGTCATAATTCATCTAAACAAGATGACACATCTCCCTCTGTCAACTTAGAAGACCTTAAGAATTGGTCAACAAATCTCAGACATTGTCAGCCAGTAGACATGCATACAGTTAGCAGAGCACCATCTGGATAAGTAAGCATTTGCTGGCCAGAGTTGTCATGACTTTTGGCTAAACCCTAACTCCTGTGACTTGCAGGGTGCTTAAATGTGCAGTTCATCCCCAGATGAGACTCAATCTACCATCTTATAGCGATCTCCCAGCCGCCAAAGCTGCACCAGCCCACAGTGCAAATGAATAGATCGACTGAGCCAAATGACTGGTCATTGATCAAATGTGTATGGAACATCTAAGCTCCAAACAGTGAAAGGGTCTTATTGTATAAGCCAGAGATCCCTCTCCCATAAGTCACTGTGGAGCAGTGTTTCAGAATAACTCTGACAGAGTGATATTTTCAACTCAGCACAGGACTCTTACCTGTAAACTGAATCTTAAAAATCAGTTGTCCCAGTTCGGTTCATACTGTATTTAAAAAAAAAGTTAATTTAAAAAATAATGTACTCATGAGGCCTTATGAAAGTGTCTTTTGAATAGACTTTGGTAAAGACACATGAGCAGTCCTTAGAGGTAAGACAAAAAGTAATTGTCGGTAGTGTAAAGATGTAGGTGTAATTGGTATAGTCTCACTGTCTCCTCATTTTTTTTTTTGCTTGATGTGCCACAAATTATTATTTTTTTAAGTTCCAAACAGTATAGAACGTGGGTTGTATTGATTTTCATCAAGCATGAAAGCATTAATGAAAACAAAATGCTTGCATGAATAGAATAGCACACAATAAAGCTACTGCATTTAAAATGTATTTAAATGAAGCTATAATTGGGTCACTAAAGGGTCCATGCCTCTGCATTCATAATACAGGATTGGGTCTTGTCGATCCGCACAAATTAAACATCAGAATATTGCTCTGAATTAAGGTCACAGTGAATGACATTTGTAATGGATTTTTTAATAGACAAAATTGCCTTGGGTAGCGACTGCAGGCCGACAGACAAAGAAGACTATTAATATGCATTAAATCTGAAATCAATTCCTCTAAAGGATTCAGATAGAACAGCTTGCTATGAAATATTTAATGATTCTAGCACCTGTAGTGATGTTCTAATACACACTCTCATTTTATTTTATTACTGTATAAATAGAAAACAGACAGTAGCTCTATATGGTGCAGCATAGTGCAATTATTATTTTTATTATTATGATTATGAGGTTGATTTAATACTCTTGTTAGCTCCATCTTTAGCAGTAATGGTAGTCCAAGGGACTGTCATATAATCTCACATCTGTTTGATGTTCACAGATCTATGTTCATTATCATTAAAAAAATAAAAAAGTTATCTTTCTTTCACACCTACTCAAACTCATCCATAAATTACTATCCTCCAAACTGTGCTTTGTGCATAACACATTTCAGTTCTTATTTTAAAACGTGAAGAACACAAACCAAAGGGACACTTGAGATAGGATAGGATTTTTAAACTGCCCTTAAACTAAGAGGCATTTAATTTGTACATTCTGTATAAACATGTGAACAATGTTACTGATTTGTTTTAAACTAAGACTTATAGGCTTATATTGGTTTTTGAAACATTGAAAGAGTAATGGAATTTGAAAACAAAGATTTCCTGGCCTGGAAATCTCCGAAATTGAAAAAAATATTAAATGTTTTGGAAAAGTGCTGAAAAATGAAATATTTAATGAATGGATTATTGGCATTGATCTTTATTACATGATAGCCATTTTGCATTGACCTGAATGTGAAATAGCTTTGAATTGGAAGCAACCTTTCTTATCTAAAAAGAGAAATTTAAAAATCACACAAATGTATTGTACATCTACCATATAAGACAACTTAAATGGAGAACTGGGGAAATTTCTCATTTCAAAGTTTGATAATTGTTTGTAATCAGCTTAATTGGGATATGTTTTCACTTTCACTTTCCTTGTGAGGTAAGAATGTTTTACTCTATAATTTATGTAACTTGTACCAGTAATAGTGCAGAAAGAAGATAGCATAAGTGTAAGTAGTTTGTAAAAAATATTTATGTATTATTGCTTCTGTTCTGCTTTTTATTGTTGCAGATACATTGCTGAATGTTTTTCATATCCTGCTCTAGATTAACAGTTACTCTGGCTTCTAACGTACAGTATATCTTCTAATTACATTGTTATATCTTTACATTATATAAATGACTTTTCTCTCAGATCAAAAGATTGTACAGAATAAGAAGATGATGTTTATCAACTAGTGTATGTGATTTGGGAATGTTTATTTAAATGTTTTACATTTTTGGGATAGTCCTTAGAATTCTTTATCTAAAGGTGTATGACCAGAGTATTGCACATTTTCTGTGCACATGACATAAAAAAATATATTGATTACAACAAGAGTGTAAAGCTGAATTTACACTATTTTAAGGGTAGCTTTAAAATAGCAAGACTGGAATCTTAACTAGATTTGCCTTGCACACATCATCTGCCTTTTTTTTATTTTAACACCATTCTGTTTTACACTAGAGAATCTATCCATCTGTTTTCTGACCACTTTTTCCAACAAGGAGCCAGAACCTATCCCAGCAAGCAACAGGCACAAGGCAGGATACACAGTACATGATGCCAGTCCATCACAGGGCACACACAAACACAAACATCCACACACTCACAGCTGGGGCATTTTTCCCTGAAGCCAACTAACCTACCAGTATGTCTTTGGGAACTTTGGGAGGAAAAAAGAGTATCTGGAGGAAACCCACACCAGGGAAGAACATACAAACTCCACAAAGACAGCAGCCCAAGAATTGAACATAGGGCCCCAGCACTGCAAGGCAGGAATGCTAAACACTGTGCCACCATGTCTCCTACACTAGAATATCAATCTATTAATTTGTGTTTATGTAATCAGTGAAAAAACAGATTAATTAATGCTTTTAATCATATTTACAGTTTTAGGAATTGAGATTAATCTAACTTGTTTGACGAAAATGTACAGCTTTATGAGTATTCCATCATGGCATTTCTGACGTTTCATTTTTTGGATGTTATTTTTTTAATCTTTGTTTTACAAAATATTAAAAGGTGATTGTCTTGCAGTGGACTAAAATTGTAAAAATTGAAAATGCATTTTCAGCAAAAAACAAAACTCCACTCCTCATCCATCAGAAAATTGTAGATCATGTGACACAAAAGAAATACCTATATCACAACTTGAAATTCAGTAACAAAGTTAAACAATTTAATTTCCTGCTCCATCCCTTACTCTGATTTTTATTTTATTTTTATCTTTAATAGTTTTGATGCATGTGGATATGTTTTTTTGTCTTTTTCCTTTTTCTTTCGCTGCATGTAACAGTTTGTCAGAGATGATTTTATTTTTGGTACTTTTCATTTATTTCTGCTTGAAATCCAGGGTAAGTGTCTTAAATTAATGATATTCAATATGTTTTGTTTAAAATAACAGTATTTTGAAGAAATGTTCTTCATAATCTATCTGTATTGTGATGTGTTAAACCAATTGCCTCAAAAAAGTAAATCAAAGTATAACAGTATCAACTGGTATTAACAGCTTCTTTAACTATTAGATTGACATTGTTATTTTGCCTCACAGCAGGCAAAGCTGTACTTAGAACATAGTCTCCTTCAGTCGTGACATGAAGTTTAGCCTATATACAGTACTTGATCTTTAAATTAATTCCTCGCCTTCATGACCTGAGATGGTGTTGTGCGACGTCTAATGTTATTTTTCAGAATATAAATATTTTAAAAATGGAGTGGTATAGGATACAGTAACATAAATTGAAAACAGCTCTTTGGAGACAAAGTTATGGTCCTCCTCATCCATTAGACAGAGCCTAAACTGGCTCAACAGGCATTAGGCACTAGGCATGGTGCATCCTGGACAGGACACCAGTCCATTGCAGGGAACACACAGACACACGCTCATGCCAGGGTCAATTTTCCAATATGTTGGAAGTCCAATTTTCCTGTGGGTGAAGTCAGAAATTTATCAGAATATTACTTAAAGACCCGTGTCTTTGCCACTGAGTGTTTCCAATATGTTTTGCCAACTACTATTTTTTTCTGAATGCATCTTAGTGAAGACAATATAAAAAGATTAAAGATTTAAGAGGACTGGTCTTCTGTTTGTTCTCTATGTCTTTCTCAACTTAATGGTATAGCTCCATAAATTTGTCTTCTATGTGAAACCACTGCAGCTATGGTCACGTCAACGTTTCTGTTGTCAGAGCTGCTCCCTAACAGGAGTAATGTGCCATTGTCAGTACTGCTAGAATGCAGTGTGCAGTACTCCTGCAGTTAATTTTCAATGTCGTCACCACACAAGGACATGCCAGCCTCAGTGCTACAGATTTCAATTCTGATAATAGAAGAAAAATCTTTTTTTTTTCAGATAAACTGAGAACACATATAAAGCCGTGCAATACCAAAGTTGAATGTGATTTATTTTTCCCAGAGATCTGTTTTTTTCAGCACAACCTAGGGAAAATGCAAAAACAAGGTTTTGCACTTTGTAATCGCAATAAGTGAGATCCTTCTCCAAGGAATATTCTACATGCAGCATTTAGCAGTCAAAAAATGTTCTTAAAGGCCTTGGATATTTGCTTGTAGACCTTAATGAATAACTTTAAGAAGACTTGCCATAAGAATGCAAGCATACATACCATAGATAATAGAGTTGTAATTAAATCTGAACAAAAGTGGGCATGTTATATTTGTTAAGAAATTAATTACATGGCTAATATTCAACAGTATGAATGGAACAGGTTTAAAAAAATTCTACTGCCAATGAATAGCAATCTCCTTTTCTGTACACTTCCTCCCCTAAAAAGGGAATTATGGACTGAAAAAATCTGTCACAGTAAATAGTGTACTTGGAAGTACTACTTTTTTAATTTCTCTTGTCTGATCCTTTCCACAGCTGGCTGAAGGGACAACAGGAAGACAAGCAGGACACTGATGTGCACTACCACTCACTGACAGGAGAAGGAAACTTCAACTGGCGCTTCGTGTATCCTTTTGACTACCTGTTAGCAGAAGAGAAGATTGTAATATCTAAGAAGGAGTCCATGTTCTCCTGGGATGAGACTGAATACAAAATACCAGCGCGGCTCACACTTCAAGTTTGGGATGCAGACCACTTTTCTGCAGATGACTTTCTAGGTGCTGTAGCCTTTTTACTCTGCTTTTATTGTATGATTATTTTTAATCATTGTTTTACTACTATCCAAGTTACTGTTGGGCCAAAAGGCCTCCTCTCATTTGTAACTGTTCTTTTGTACAATAAGAAAGTAGACTTTCTCCTTTTTACCATTTTAGTGCCGTATACAGTATACAAAAAATTTAAATGTTAAATTGAATAATTGTTGCCCTTGTGTAGAAATATAATTAGAGGATATCATATCTTTTATTTCAACAGTAAGCAAATTGATGAAAAACTGGGAGGGTTAGGATTCAGTCCATGTTATATACTGTGGAAGCATGTAGCCTGTTAATCAAAAGTCATTACATTAAGCTGGAAAGTTCACTGACTCGGCTAATAATAATGGGCCAGTTACATAACCATGTGATGTAATCTTTATTTCCTATTCCAGATTCAGTCTGCAGATGAAACAAAATAGATTTCTAACTGATAATTGGTACATTAGGTCTTACAACACTTATTGTTGGGGCAAGGCAATGGTTAAAATGGATTTTGTAAACAGTTTTCAGTTAAACTTGAAAAAGAAATGCAAATACTTCAGAACTAAAAATATCTAGTAGATCAAAAAGGTAGAAAACAATAGAGTCGCATATTAGTAATACAAATAACCCAAGCTAATCCCGTGAATCTGTGTGCAGTATGTGTGTGGTACAGTATGTGAATGTTGTCAGCGTACAGTTCATTCCTGAAAGTTGTGGTCTTGTTCTCTGTGCAGGAGCAATTGAGCTGGACCTAAACCGTTTTCCCCGCGGGGCAAAGACAGCCAAGCAGTGCTCCATAGACATGGTGCTGAGTGAGCAGGAGCTGCCCACCATCTCCATCTTCAAGCAGAAGAGGGTCAAAGGCTGGTGGCCTTTTGTTGCTCGGGATGAAAATGACGAATTGGAGCTCACGGTAAATGAAAAGCCTCTCATTTTTTTGCATTTTTGCTTTCCTGCACTTTGGCCACAACCCCTCAAAAGAGAAATATAATTGTTATTTAAAATGATTTCAAATGTGATTTTAAATGTCTTTTTTAAGTGTTGAGTTTTCACTGAATTTGTGCTGCAATCACCGGCAACACTCTCCCATGTCATCAGTGGTTGGTTCATCTGTACTTAGTATGTATGTAAACAACATAGCCATGGTAATTACGTCCCTGGTAATTCAGTGGGTGCTATTACTTATACAGGGGAAAGTTGAGGCAGAGCTGCACCTCCTGACTGCAGAAGAAGCAGAGAAGAGCCCAGCTGGTCTTGGACGTAATGAGCCTGACCCCCTGGAGAAACCAAAGTAAGCCCATCCCTCACAAAACACTTTCAGCCTACAGGGAGATGAGCAGATTGTAGTACATGTACACTAGATAGCACCAGTCCCTTAAGTCTTCTAAGTTACCCTACTTTTAAAGATTAGGAGTTATTGGAAGTTATGAATCGATTAGGCAAGTAATTTGTTCTTTTTAGGGAAATCTAGTTCTTGAGGGCTGAATGATTCCCTAAGTTTTAAGACAGAGGAAATACCCAGGGACTGGAGAATTGCTAATGGTAGTGCCCATCCACAAGAAGGGAGAGAAAACTGAACCGAGTAATTGTAGGCCAATATGTCTTTTATATGAAAGTTAAAGGAATGTTTATTAGAACTAAGCTAGAGAACCTCATATATCAAATAATATCCTAGGGAATAGTCAAGATGGCTTTATAAAATATACATTTTACATAGGTAAGGTCTGTAAGAGTACTTATAACAAGCTACATACAGTAAGTAACGAATACACCGAGAGCATATGATTTGCTGCATTTAGATTTTCAGAGGGCTTTGAATAAAATCCTCATAAAAGATTAATTTTCAAATTACAGGCAGTGGGCATACCTGGTAATGCAAGTGTTTGGATTGAGAATTGATTAATGAACAGAACATAGAAAAACCTCTAAATATTTGAGGTGATATAATTAGTTGAATACCACAGTTACTGTATCTTAATGTATACCAATGACCTAGATACTAGTATAATTAATAAACTATAATACAAGTATTCAAAATCCTCAAGACAGTGGACTTCTCAAGACACAACAGTGAAACATGAACCAGAAAACACAATTGGAAAACTACATGGAAGTACATTTAAAGAACAGGGGCATTTCTTAACCCAGAGGCTTATGGGAGCTGCACAGCTGTTGGTATAGCTCAGTGGTTCTCAAACTTTTTGGACCAAGTACCACCCCTAATCCAACCAAGCATCCAAGTACCACCTACAAGTTATCATCTCATAGGAACCCCAGAAATTCTCAATGACCAACATGAGCGCGCATGCACACACACTCACACATACATATAATAAATATTATAATAATAAGCTTTGTTTGATATATTAAAATGTGGCTTCTCAAAGTGTTTTACAGAAAAAAAAACAACAAATAAAAATTAAAAAGCACCATTTCAGTGATAGGGGTGAGCCTGTTTAGTCGAGCAAAGCAGATGTGAATTAATTTTTCGTCTTAACAGATTTTAAATCATCAGGCATTTTCTTGACAGCAAGGGTCTCGCGGTTGCAATGAAACCATTAATTTCTGGAGCAACCTCTCTAATTCGTGGAACTACACCGCTGTGTCGGCTTGTCCTTGCTGTAGCACCGTCTGTACAAACTC